CAACTCTGCTTCGAATTCTACTGGGTATGAGGTCTATAGCAACGAGTTGAATAGGAGAGAAGACGAGAAAACAGACTTAGGCTCAGATGATTTGTAATGTTACCCACAGATGCTCTAGTAGAGAGACGTATGAACAGGGCGCTATGGTAGTATATTAGAAATAGAAATGTTGATTTTTGTCTTAGGTATGTGGGGAGGGTTTTTTACAGAGAATGACAGTTGAATTGCCTTGTCAAGGAGGAATTAGGGAAGATGGGGAGGGGAAGACTTTGCAGGTAAAGGGAAAAATGTTTATAAAGGTACCTGGGTGCGAAAAGTCTTGGAGGTATGATGGCTTGAGTGCTGGAGTCTAAGGCTGAATGCAGGAGTGGGGATGAGTATCCCAGGTTGTGAGGAAACATCTTGGCGGGGGGCTACAAGAATGATGTCGCCAGGTTGCCTTGTTGCTGTGCTCACCATCTGCTTTGTGAAGCGTGAACCTAGGACAGAGGGAGGCTAGAGGCTACGTGAGAGGACTTTACCATTATTAAAGATTAGAATTAGGGCAGACATACCGTAGAGGAAGGGCAGACTGGGGAGACGTTTTGCGAGATGGGAGCTGTTTGATAATTTACTGGAAGGTGGGAGAAGGAGAAAAATCAAGGGCGATCCTGAGGTGCTAGCTTAAGGACCAGGTCAGTGATGACCCCGGAAGGACGTCATGCATATGGGAAGGAGGAGGTTTGGGTGAAAGGGACCTTGATGAGTTCACTTTCTAACATGTTGAGTTTGAGGTGCTCATAGGCTCTCTAGTTTGAAGAGATCCAGAATAGTACTGCCTAACAGAACTTCCTGCTGTGATGGGAATGTTGTGTGTCCACTGTCCACCACGGGAGCCCCTAGCCACGTGGAGCTGGGGAACACTTGAAATACAGCTAGTACAACCGAAGAATGGAATTTTAAGTTTTCTTTAATTTTAATTAATGTACATGTAAGTAGCCACATGTAGCTAGCAGCTCCGTATCCGACAGTGCAGGTCTGGAAGGTGTTGGGTGGGAAGTACTGATCTGGTGCTTATTCTTGAGATAGTGTGATCTACCTGCCTGGGACTGAGAGGTGTCCAGGGACACTGGGCTCTTCATTCTAAAACTGGGAGAGTCTCAGGCAAACGGTGATTGTGACTCACCCCAGCCGGAGGTGTTCTTCCCTGTGTTCATGAACTTTAAGTGTCATGCTTCTGAAACGACTACGTCTACTCATCTGACTTCTGGGCTGACTATGTCATGATTTGCGACTTAGAGAGAAAGCTCCCTTTCTTGGCATTAGGGAGCTGGAAAATGGAAAACCAGCATGATTCTGGAAACACGTGCTCTGCCTGATATTTTCCTTGTTTTCTCCACGTCTCCCTTTTTCTTCCATTCTGTGCTCTTACGGAGTGATTCCCCTCCCTGGCCGCACATTGGAATCACCTGGGGTGTTCACTTCTCAAACAAATATGGTGCCCAAGGTCCACCTTAGACTAGTTAAATTAGAATCTTGGTGTGGGGTGGGGGGAGAGGGGGCCAGACGTCTGTCTGATTTAAAAGCTCCCCAGGTGATTCTGATGTGCAGCCTGGATTAGAAAGTACAGCTCCCAGACATGCTTCCGCTTCTTTGCCATTTTTTTTTTTTTTAAACTCCAACACACTACAAGTGATTGTGAGCCCCCTTCCCCCTCCTTTTATTTGGCAGAGTAGCAGGGTTTCAGAGATTTTCTGCTGTGCCAGCTTTCAGGTCACGTGCGACAGAAGTCAGCCTGAGACGGATTGCGTTAGATCTCTTATCGCACATGAGATCTGATGTGCTGTGCTGTATCAGTAACAGTAAGGGTGGTAGACGTATTGTACATGTAACATACCTAAGCACTCTGACACCTTACGTGTTAGCTCACTCTTAGTCACCGCAGCATGAGAAAGATACATAATTTTTCTTCTTCTTTTCCAGAGAAGGAATCGGCGATTTAGACCAAAGTCCCTTGGCTGCACTTTTTAATTACTGTGCGATGTGACCTTACTGTACATTGAGATAAACTGTACCTGTAAAGCCAGGAGAGGAAGTCTTCCCAAGCTGTGGTTATCTTTCAGATGGCAGAGCTCTGGTCCAGTTCATCTCGACTTTTGCATTGGTTACTTCAAGATTTGGAGGCTCCGTATCATCCAGTCGCTTGAGCTGTGTGATTGACTTAAAAAATTTCCAAACTTGGAGCCAGTTCTGAAACAGAGAAGGCTTTCTCTGTGACCCTTTAGCATTGACAAAAAAGAAGTAGCTGAATGCTGTAAGTCCCTTCAGTTTTTGCTAGCTTCACAGAGGACGGGGTTACTCATCCTAATGTAGAACACATCAGGCGTATTCACTGTGGTGTGTGTGCGCACGTGCATGCTTGTTATAGGACAGTGAACTTGGTTTTCTAACTACAATGAAATAAAAATACAAATAAATGTTTTTCTTTCCATTTATGCCCTATTCCTCAGGTGGTCCCTCGCCACTGGGAGCTCTTCTCATATTTTTCCCATACTTTTCCTCTCCATTCCCTTTACCTGGCTTTATTTTTTTAAGTTGCACAAAGTCACAAGAAAGCACATTGTCTGTGGTTTCCATTAAGGTGGTTTCCATTAGGTGAAGGGTTCTTAATTAATGCTCTTCATGAAGACCCTATAGTGGGAATCTGCAATGTTTCATCTGGATTCTATTGGCTATATAATGGAAGAATAGTATCGGTATTTTTAAAAAGCCTTAAAGCTGTTATCTAATGTTTTAAATAGAAAAACATTTTTGTAATGTCAATATGAGATCATGGTTTTATAAGCCTTTATTGTTCGTACGTCTGTAAAGTAGGTCATCAAGAATAGAGTGGTAAATCAGTCTTGATTTTTCAACTTCAGGTACAGATACTTTTAAATGTCAAGTAAACTGAAGTCTTTCGATAAAATATATATTTATTTTTTGAAAGAATATTAAGTATAGTAATAAGACTTGAGACCATGACCACAGATTACCCAGTGCCTAAGTGTATATTTTTAGAATCTCTTAGTTTTGTTTCTTTCTGTTAAAAAAAGGAGGGGGTCACTTTATTGTTTTTTCATAACCAAGGACAGTTTCGTTTACACCCATTGGTGGGCTTTGTGTGGTGGAGGCTGATGAGGGGCTGGTGTGCATAGGGCTTCATTCCGTGGTCAATCAGATGTTTTCTGTTGAAAATATAATTATTTTTAAAAAGGCTCTATCTTGGGCGCCTGGGAGGCTCAGGCCATTGAGCGGCTGCCTTCGGCTCAGGTCATGGTCTCAGGGTCTTGGGATCAAGCCCCGCATTGGGCTCCCTGCTCCCTGGGGAGCCTGCTTCTTCTTCTCCCTCTGCCACTCCCCTTGCTTGTGCTCTCTTACTCCCTGTCAAGTTAATAGATAAAATCTTCAAAAAGAAAATACCTTAAAAAAAATCTATCTTTCCATGTATACATTCAGCTATTTTATGGGCTGTCTCATTTCAAAGTATTCTTTTTGGGTGTGGCTTCAGTAAAATTGTTCATTAACTCTTAACTTAGATGGTCATGAAGTGCCAGTAAAACTTAGGGGTGTTGGTGGTGTAATCCCATAAATATTTGTTCATTTGGTTGGATTTTAAGGTTGTGGTCCTACAATCACCATAGCTATTCTAAATCCTTTGGATCGCGGTTATAGGACACAAAGGATATGATTCACCACGTGAATTGTTTTTGGAGTGTTCTCGGTTCCAGTGGTTAGAATCCTACACTTCTAGAATTAATGACCGGATCATCTGGGATGTTCTTGAAGCCACTGGTTTCAGATTCCTTTTTTTCTGTCTTCTGGTTATTCATGGAAATAGGAAACTCTGTTTGTCTTTTTTTTTTTTTTTTTTTTTTTAAGAAAAACAGCTTTTTGTAGATAAATCCCAATTACATTTTTTTAAAGTACAAGTATAACAGTCCCAACCCATAATGTCCTGGCTCTGTGGTGCAAGTCGAGGTGCTGGTCTGGGAGTAGTCCCTCCTCACACATTCTGCTCCATCCTTAATCCTGGGTCATGCTCTTTCTTCCCATCACATGCTGTGAACATGATATTCTCAACCGTGAGGTTATCTAAGAACGGTGCTTTGGCTGAGAAAGGAATGTGGGTGTTCAGGCTACTTTATTTGTCTGGTCATAGAAGCTTTTAAATAATAAGCTGCTGTTTTTTCACGTAGTTGGAAATATTTCCAAACCGTTCACATATTTTTCCAACTTACTGAAATGAGTCTGGCTGGTATCCGGTCATGGGTTGGTAATGGATGACCTTGAAATGCATGAAAATAGTTGTTAGCTGAACGCTCATGGCATCAGCCTTTTGCTCTGCGGACGAAGCAGATGTAGGGGGCGCCTGGGTGGCTCAGTTGGCTAAGCATCCACCTTCGACTCAGGTCATGATCCCGGAGTCTGGGGATTGAGCCCCACATCGGGCTCCCTGCTCACCAGAGAGTCTGCTTCTCCCCCTGCCCCTCACCCCTCTCATGCTCTCTCTCTCTCAAATACCTAAATAAAATCTTAAGGAAAAAAAAAGCAGATGTGTGACACTGAACTGAATGTGTAAGCCTACATTATTTTCTGGAGGCTGATTTTAAAAATAAACCACCTCTGATTACAGCACCACAGACTAACGGTGCTAGAAGGAACTTCAGGGAGCACCCGCCTGTCTGCTTTTATGGGACCAAGTGCTGAGCACCAAAGAGAAGTGATTTGTCATAGGTCACTTATGGCTCCGAGGTCTTCCCGTGACCTAGGGAGAATCCGAAATTTGGCTTGGTGGGCTCACACCTGCTGTGATCTCTTTTTCTTTCTTACTCTTAAAAGCAGAAGCACTTCTTCTGTGGCCTTTTCTCTACCCCACCACCAACCTCAGAAACAAAAGTGAGTTGGATCCCAGGTTTTCCTACAGTAAACTTTTGATAGTGTTATAACATTGCTTTCCTTTTTTTTTTCCCCCCTTTTAGCCATAGGCGAATATGAAGACCTCAGAGCAGAGAACCAGAAAACAAAGGAGAAGGTTTGTACTTTACCCTTTCTTTCCTTTCTTACATGTGTGAAAGCCTGGACGGCATGGTGCATTGTTCTGCCACCAATTTCAGTTAAATGCGAATGAGAGTTTTTTTCTTTTTTCTTTTCTCCTGCATGTGCGGTTCAAGCTAATATCAACTCCAGGCTCCAGATGGTAAAGAATAGCAGGCATGCCACAGTGGGCGCTGCTCTGGGAGATTAACTACACAGCTAAATGTGCAGCAAGGCACCAGGCCAACCAACTCAAGCCCCCAAGAATTGTACTTTTCCCCTAACAACCAGATTTGGGATTCTAGTGATGGAATTGAAGGGAAGACACGTATCTTTGGGGCTTAAGACAGAGTAGATTCTGGAGAGAACTCTATGGCATTAGTCATTGGTGTTTAGCCCATCTTCTTGCATAAACCCTTTTTTATGCTCGTGTCGTCTAAGTATACGAAAAATATACTGAAAGTTGAAAATCACCCACCACGAAGATAGTAATGCCTGGCGAATGTTTTCAGGGGCCTTGGCACAAGTTTTATTTTTAAACTGAAATCACTGAATTCAGCTAACCTTTATAAACTACTTATCCTTTTGTCTCTGTACATAATCCATCTAAGATTTGTGAATATTTGTTTATGTGTCTTTTTTCTCCCCTGCAAATTAGGGAGGGGAAGGGAGCTCTGAGTTAAAAAAAGAGGAGTGCTAAATTGAACTGAGAAGTAGAAGAGAGAGAGAGAGAGCAGAGCTGCCCATTATTGTTTTTAGGTAGAAACAAAATTTGTGTTTAGAAATTACTTTGATAGACTAAATATTTCAAAACATAATGTCCATGGTGGAAAATTTAAAAATAGGTCCTTCATAGTTATTGAAGTTGATGGTCATCATGGCTGTGAATGATGAGACCTTGTCTTTAAAATTTGAGAGTAAGATTTGGAATGAAAATGGGCAGTGAGCCGAATATTTGTAAAACCTTTGGCATATTTGAGGCTATTTATTGGGTTCTTAAGAATCATATTTAAGTTTTCCGCTCATATTACTTGGCTACGTGTATTAGCTGTAATATGGTTTGTGATACTAATGGTATGATATAGAAATGGATTTTGAGACCATTATTTTTCACTTAGTTTTCAGGCTCCTCTGCTCATTTGCAAATAAATCTTTGATGTTCTGTGACATCTGGAGTTTCTTCTCTTCTTTCCATCCGGTGATTTAGGGAATGGTAGGTAGGTGGGGGTGGTGAAGATGTCTGTGATAGAGAGTGGTTGCTGCGTGCATCTCTAACGTGGTAAGGAAGTCCCAGAAGAACAGTTTGACAAGGTTCCTAATTCTAATGCAGTAACCACCCCAAATCACAGCTGTCCTGAGGATGCCAACAGGTGGGGTGTTTGTGCTTAATCCTGGCTCCTTGAGGCCCCGTAATTTCAGAGAGGAACCATCAAGGGATGCTCAGGCCTGATTGCTTGAGCCTCTTCTCCCAGGTACGCAAGCATCTTGCAGCTGTAGGAGAAGGAGCCAAGAAGTTACCGGCTGAGTCTCTTCTGTAGGTGTCCAGGCCTAGGAGGGGGAGAGCAAGACAAGTTGGAAGGGTTAATTCAGGAGAACTCTTTGACTTAACCTAGAAGATTGGAGGGAAGGAAGCAAACCCGTGTCTTCATGTGTTGGTGAAGGAAGGATATAGAAGAAAAGGAGTAACATGAGAGGCAGAAGAGTAAATTTTTTGTTTTCTTTCTTCTCCTCTAATCCTTGCTTACATACAGACCTTGCATTGCCCTGAAAGTAGTGATAACATCCATTGCTGGTGGTGTTGATGGTTATTTAACCGAGAGCCACTTTCTGCAGGGAGGTTTTTAGGTGAACCATCTGTTACACAAGTGGAATTATAGGAAAAATGGATTTGGTAAAAGGAGGACTATAAATTACTTTTGCCTATTAACTATTTGCATGTTTCTCTACATGGCCTAATACTTTTGTAACATCTGTATGCATTACTGACCCTCTTATGTGCTAATTCTTTAAAAAATAACTATTAACAGAAATGGGAAGAAAAGAAATGAATGCGGTATGGAATGCTGCAGTTGGGTAAAACAAAATAGAGTGGTTTTAAGTTCACTCTGTTCTGTTTATCTTCTGTTAAAGGACTAACGGGCTTATTATTGCAGATTTTTCCCCCCAAAAAGAGGGCTGCATTACAAAAGATGGAAGCATATAATAAAAGCCTTTTATACAGCATAGAATGAGAAAAAGCAGCTTTAGTTCTGGAGGTGGTAAATGGAGAACACCATTTTCTCTGGCAAAGCACTTCCTTGTTCCTGGCTGAGGGAGCTTTGCCCAGGTCATACCCGCAAATACGCATGGCCATCCTTCCCTCGTAGGGGAGTTTAAAATTAGTCAAGGAGAGAAATCTAAGGTGGAAGTCCTTTTGCCATAGTTCATTTGATCTGGGGGAATTTTGCATGAGTGGAAGGGACCAGAGTAAATTCACTGCAAGTTATCTCTCCCTTCTACATTTCCACATTAAGTCTATATTTATTGCTAGATGATGAAACTGATCAACGAGAAAGAGACAAAGGGTTTGATTTCTTTGGATAAGAGCTTTTGATGCTCTGTTTGGAACCTCCTCTGGGGAGACAAGTGGTAGGACGTGAGTTTATGCTTAAGGGTCTGTATTTATAAAGAAGCTGCCATGGGGCACACACACAGTCAATTATGTTCCTCGTCTGATGCCCCAAGCAGCCCCGTGTCAGCTCCAGTGCACAGAGAACAGAACCTCAGGGCTTAACAGAGTCAAGTTACGTACACAGGTCTTCTGACCACAAATGTTCTTTTTAAAGCCAATAAACTCACGGAGCTGATTGACTTTTTCCACCAAGATCTTGGTGTTAATCTTCGTTCATTGTTGTTAGCTTATGAATTTTCCATGGCAAATTATCAGACTCAGGACTTCTCTGGATCGCTTGTCTTGACCATCTGTAGGTTTGTCCTTAAAAACTGAAAATTAAATATCAAATCCGTCTGGTGTCAGAAACGTCACACGTGTGAGTGAGTGTGCATGCAGATTCTGACGTAGGTGTGCAGGGGAAGAGTAGACTTGGAAGGTTGGGCCGGTGTGTCAATGATCTTTTCCTTTGCAGTTATCCCTGTTTAAGAAAAATCTAATGTTGATCATTTTGTGGTTTTTCTCATTGTCTTTGAGGATGGAATCAAAGTCTGTTTGAGTTTGTAAGGAAAGCTTTTTTGAAGGGAAGACTGTTGAATGCCTTCTCAGTACTGGAGTATTAAGAAAGGTACATAAAGGTCCCCCTCTTGAGTAAAACCACTCTCATGAGGGGTACAGCCTCATGGACAAATGATAAATTGTGCTGTTTAAGTGAACGTCTGCAGTTTGGGGGTGGGATGGGAAAAGGACAGAAAGATAAGGATCCTATCCTAGACCATGTGACAAATTCTTATTAGCTCTTAATGCTTGGCTCAAATGCCTCCCCCCCCCTTTTTTTAAGTCTTCTCCAACCTTTTCTCAAGCAGAATAGTTTACTTCTTTGTAATAAAACATGTGTTTATTTCCTTGTATTTATCACCTTTTATCAATCAGTTATCATCAAAATAGTAGGTAGGGTATGAGTAAGTTGTATGGCGTTGAATTGTAATGTAAAAAGTTCAGTTTGTTTTTTTTTTAATGTCAGGGTAAGGGGAGTTTATGGAAAGGGTGCTAGTTTCTATTATTTTTTGGCTAGTTTCTAAGTGACATTATCAGCAGTATGTTAAAAAGTAAGAAAGGCTAGCACATTGAAGTCAACAAGACTTCCAAAAATGTTTTTTGACGTATGGAAAAATAGAAGACTATATACTTTGGAATCAACCAAAGAAAATGTGATTGTTTGCCTGTGAAGCAGTCCCCCACATTCAGAGGTTAGTCATGCTCCTACAATTGAAGGGCATTCCCCTTATGACTCATTCAGGATCTTTGTCATAATTGTCTGGGGCTTTTTCCTATATGGGGGGCAAAGCCGCACTGAGCTTTTAATGGAATAGCTTTCACATTTCTCAGGGTGGTGGGGGTGGGTGTGGAGCATGCCTAAAAAGAAGGGAATGTGTATAATAGAAGAATATCTGCCTTTACACAGTATTTATATTTAATATTATGTCTTGAGATTGAGTTTTGAAATGAATACATGTTTAAGTGGCTGATTAGAAGTCGTCTGGATAAGCTACTGTAACAGTACATCAGGCGGGTCTGTCAGCTTGCCAGGAACAATGAATGAAAGGGAACGAGGCAGACGCTTTCCAAGACTTACGTTTCAAGAAGCAAGATATATGATACTGTTTGCATCTTGGTTCCCCTTGTCTATTGTCAGAATTTCTTTCTCTTGTGTCAGTTTCAGAGGTGAAGGTCCCAAAGTATTTTATTTAAAAAAAAAAAATCAGTAAAGAAGCCACTTTAAAGAGCAAGATATGCATCCATTATGCTAAGCGTTCATGCATAATACATCCACATACATGCAGTTTCTTTAGAACAGAGTGGCAAGTGGTCGTGCCAGAGAAAAAGTAATTACTTAGCAGTTTGAAAGTGAAAATGAGTCTCTTATTAACAGCAATCTATCCAGAAACAAAGAGCAAGGATCTCTGTTCTGATGACATGTGTTTCCATCTAACACACAATACCTAGAATTTGGAGAATGCTGCAAGACAGCTTCAGGGGGCAGCTACTGAAAATTGGAGGGAAAGAACTTTGAATTGGAAGAAAGAACACCACCAAAAGAGAAAGAGAGTGAAAGGAATTCCATCTAAGTGGGAATGATTTCTTTTATTGTGTTCTTTAAGGACAGGCACAGTTGAGGTCTAGCGGACCTTCCCTAGGTGGAACTGTGGGATTGTCCGGCATTATTAAAAATGATTTTGATGGTCCTATGAAAGCATCACCAAAGACCCTAAAATAGATAACTGTGTGCAGTTCCGATGCTGTGTGTGTTGATGTTTTTAAACGTTGTAACCAGACACAAAGGGAGTGAACTTCAGGAAAAAGCAGTAGAAATGGTGGTGGGCGGAGACCGTTTCGGGTCTGGGCTGAGAGCCTCTGTGACGTGTCCCTGTGGTACAGCACTTCCCCCTTCAAGCCCGTGTTCTTATACATTTCTTGCTTCGTGGTTGATCCTTCTTGGTAGATCATAAGCATAGTTGTGAGCACCCTGGCTGTTAGTTTCCCCTGGATCCCCCCGCCCCAGGGTTAGCACAGTGCCTGGCATATGTGGGTGGTTCAGGGCTCCGAGGAAGGAAACTGAGGCATTCAGTGATTACAGTAGACTCCCTCAGCGAAGGTCCTTGCCTTGTGCACATCATCCGCTTTGTTGATGGTGTGTGTATGCGGCACATGTGTGCACGTCATGGGCCCCAAACTGGCCTTTGCCTAGGCTGGCAACCCTCGCTGCATTCGTGCACCACGGAGATCAAAACGAACGTTCCTGTTCATGGGGGCAAGACACCATTCCGAGCACTGGGCTTTTCCTTGCCTACGCTACACACACAGCAGCATATAAAGAAGTGTTAGTACCTACAGGCTCTCTGTCTGTCTGCTGAGACTGCGAAGCAGACACTTTTGTCTGCACAGTAGTGGCTGTGTGAGGGGTAAGGAAGGGAATCCTGCCGGTCACTCTGCCGGTGCTTTGAGATGCTGGTTGAGTTCGGGAAGCCAGGTATCTGCCTGGGTGAGGCTCTGAGAACAGATAGGCCCGGGCTTCTCATGCGGAGACCAGGAGACCAGGGCCTCTGACAATTTGAAACCGGCGAGGCCAACCTCTGGTGGATCCCCCACTTCACAGAGAGCCCCCATGGAGTCTAGAAGAGACCTGTGTTATCCAGCTAGTGGAAAGCAGCCAGAGCTCAAGCTGCCGGGTTCCACCCTGGCCGCAGGCTCTCTAGAGAGTCGCTGGGCATCCTAATTCAGTGATGTGGGCCCTCACATCTGTTGCTATTGCAAAGTCTTCCTGAGCAATTCTCACACAAAAAGAGGCAGTTTCCACAAATGCTGCAGCTGCGTGGGCAGGGTAGAGGAAGGGGCCGGGTGGGTGAGGGGTTTCTGCAGGATGCAGAGACGTAGCGCTCTCCCCTAGAAGCCCAGAATCCTTGCTGACTTCCCTGTGTTGGTTGAATGGGAGGAAGGTCGCAAGATACTTTGCTGGGTTCACCTAAAATGATGAAATAAGCGGATGTCTGGATTTCTGCTTAGTAAATGGGTACGTCCTTCATATTTTGTTCAGCTGTGGTTTGGGAATAAGTCAGCTGCCTTTGCCGTATGCATAGATCCCCCCGCCCCCTTCAACACACACCCCTTTCAGCATCCATAGCAGATGGTAAATTCTGTGGCTGCCAGTTTTATCATAATGTGGTTGCAGAAAATAGAAAGCAAAGCACCATGAAGATCCCCGGGAGAATACAGCTGGGGTTGGGTGGCGGCTTCTGCATTCTCTGGTGCCGTCTGCGGGTTCCTGTACAAACGTACGGCTGGTGATGGGAACTGGTTACTGGCATGATGGAACAGGACTGCGATGTCGGGACCTGTCATTCACGAGAGCCCGTCTACCTGGGCCTTAGCAGGAGAGAGCGCGGGCATAAGGCTTTGCTTCTGGGAGGCTGGTGTGAGCCTCCCTAAAATTGCCACGTGGTGTCCGTGACCAGCGAGGGGGAGCTGCGCGGGGGGTCGTGTGTGGTGTCAGCCGGCGGGCCTTTTCACGTGTGCGGAGGTAGCGTGCCCTCCTGTTCGATGCTCTGGTCAGGCAAAGTGTCAGTGAAAACTCTGGCTTTTGATTTAAGTAAGAATTAAGTTAAGCTCTGGTTCCTTCAGGTGGAGCTTTGAGAGGTCCGGGGAAGAATCCAAGCGGTATTAAGTCAGGGGCAGCGCTCCCAAGCACCAGATCAGAGGTGAAGACAGCTTTTCCGAGGGCGTCATACACCTTCAGAAATGAAGATCCGCGAAGTTAATTTGAGAATAAAACAGCAGATATATTTCATTTGGCAGTCTTGCCCCAGGAGTGCGAGTCTAGTCAGAAATTATGTTTCTTTTTGTGCTTTAGACAAAACTGCCTTGTTGGAGGTGGGTGTGCAGACTCTAGAAAACAAGAACATTCCTGAAACCGCTGACCAGAATCTCGTAAAATTAAGGGTTCTACTCTCTGGCCGGGGAAGGATCTCCACAAACTTATTCGAGAATCCAGAACTCTAGTGTTTAGAATTTTAAACACCAGAAATCAATCAAGACAGTTTATCTGTTAAGTTGGACCTAGAAACTGTATTAGACAGCATTACTTTTTTGGCAGAGGAGAGATTCCTCGAGAAAACCTTAATGAAAGAATATGCATCCTCCTTAAGGAAATAGTCCAGCCTGACCTTCCTGTGGAGGGTCCAAGTCAGGAGCTGGTAAACAGCCTTGCTCATGTAGCATTAGGACTTGTTCCATGTTCTTTTGCGGGAATGGGTTTACCCGCATGGATGGAGATAAGCTTTTTCAAGTTTTAGTTCTTGAGACATTGAAGGGGAAGACTGAGCAGTTGACTTAATTTTTTTAAATTAAAAAAATACTCTAAACCCCAAAGAAGGGCAGAGAATAACAACAAATATGTAACTGACAGAATTAACTGTCATTCTGGGGCGGCTGCGGGACTCAGTTAAGCGTCTGACTCTTGGTTTCGGCTCAGGTCATGATTTTCGGGTCATGGGACGGTGCCTCATGTCAGGCTCCACGCCCAGCAGGGGATCTGCTTGAGAGTCTCTCTCTCCCTCTGCCCCTCCACCCACTCTCCTGTGTGCTCTCCTTCTCTCCCAAATAAATAACATCTTAGAAATAAAGAATTAACTGTTGTTTTTTTTTAACTTAAAAAATTGCTACAGATAAAAGTGACGATCTTCAGTGTCACCCAGCCCTGGGCCCTTGCCCTTTCCCTGTATTTTGAGAGATAACTCCTGTGATAAATTTTGTATGTATCCTTCTATTTTGGGTTTTTATATTTTTATGTATGCCATATATATCCTGAAATACACATTTACAGCCCAAGTCTATCAGGTGATTTTATTTGCTTAAGGTATATATTTACATGGATTCTCTGATTCCTTTACTCACGTTACGGCTTTTGAGGTGTAGGTTGACACGAGCAGCTTACGATCATCGAGTCATGGTTCTCTAGCATGTTACATGAATATACCATGATTTATGCTGAACGTATCTGTAGAATATTACTAGAGATTCCAGTAATAGAACCTCGAAATGGAATTGCAGGGTGCCTGGCTAGCTCAGTCAGAAGAACATGCGACCCTTGATCTTGGGGGTGGTGAGTTTATACCCACACTGGGTATACAGATTACTTAAAACTTTAAAAAAAAAAAAAAAACCAGTAGTGGAATTGCTGAGTCATAGGGTGTGTGCACTTTCAGTTTTGATGGTTTATTTCTAAACTAGTTACGTCTGTTGACACTTCCACCAGCTTCCACGTGTCACTGTATGTGACAGTCCTCAACTGACAGCAAACTTTTTCAGTTTTTGCCAGTCTTAGATGAGACTATGTCACTGTCTTAATTTGGGCTTTCCAAATTATCAGTGGCATCATAATTTTTTAGCTGTTGAAATTTGAAATAATAAATATCCAAAGGCATGAAATCCTAATATATTTATATGGCATAGTAGGATTAAAATATAATTTAAAGTTGTGTTTTACTGGGGCGCCTGGGTGGCTCAGCCGGTTAAGCGTCTGCCTTTTGCTCAGGTCATGATCCTGGAGTCACAGGATTGAGTCCCATGTCGGGATCCTTGCTCTTAAGGGAGTCTGCTTCTCCTTCTACCCTCTCCCTCTCTCCCTGGCTCATGCTCTCTCTTACTCTCTCAAATAAATAAATAAATTCTTTTAAAAAAAAAATTAAGTTGTGTTTTACTCACATGACTCTGTTGTTATCGTATCATAGTATTTCCAGAAAAATTCAGATTTTAATTATTGCTTTTATAGTTAAAAATCATTTCTTAAAGTTGTAGACATTTTTGATGAAAATCTTTCTAAAATGTTTTATACTTAACCTGCTTTGTGAAATTCATGGTAAGTTGAATCAGTCCTCATAATGAACATGAAGTTTTTATAAAATTCATTCAGACCTCGAGGGCCTGTTAAAATATTGGATACTTGTTTCTATACCAGATACCCTGAAAGGTCCTCATGCTTTAGTAGTTATTTTTGCCTTTTATGGTCTTCCCTCCTCCTAGTGTTTTCAGTGAGTCCTCCCACCCTTTAAAACTAAAAAGTAGTTTATGTAAATGATATATGCTTATTGTGGAATATTTTATCTTTTCTCATTTTAATTTGCCACCTTCTCTTTGGAATTCTAAGGATATGAGGATATTTTCCCCTTAACTGAGGATTTCAAGGGGTGCACGACAGCAGTTTGTCTTCAAGTAGGGGTCACTTCTGGCTGTGCACCAGTGTTCTGGATAGTTCTGGGGAGTTCGTCGCTACCCAGTTTCAGGGAATCTGACGTGTGGGTGCGTGGGGTGTTCACTGTATTACCGAAGTACCTACTTACTGAAAACACTCACTGAAAACACTGGGAGGAGGGAAGACCGTAAAAGGCAAAAAGAGGCACATATATTCTCTTAAAGAATGAGTAATTTGAATGCAAGGATATTAAATTGGTCTGTTCTTGAGGAGATAATGAGCAGTGAGATGACTCATTGTCTTGGAAGGTCCAAGGCAAGTGGCCAGATACAGATGGTGCAAGGCCATGCCGGTTGAGTAGCCTAAGTACCATGTGAGAGATAATGCTTTTTAAAGATTTTTAATTTTTTTTTTCATAAAACCGCTGCTGTTGATAGGTTTGCTCTTTCTTGCCTTCACAAACTTGTGAAACAAATTTAACATTTCTGTCTCGTCTCCTTTCAGTGTGACAAAATTAGGCAAGAACGAGATGAAGCTGTTAAAAAACTGGAGGAACTTCAGAAAAGTATGTAAGCATTTCATTGGAATTACTGTAACGCACATAACTATGTTTGGGAATTATGTGGGCAGACACGTCCCCTATGTTTAGTTGCTGCTGCACTGGGCATCCAAGAAAGCAAGGGTTGTCTTCCTATTTGCCGCCCGCCCCCCTACCAAAAATGTCCTGGCATTACTGTGATTTTCAAACAAATGGAATGAATATTATTGTTTCATGAGTATGTTATTATAAAAGACAGTTTGCACTTGTATAAAAAAAACTTTACTATGCAGAACAGTTAAAGAAGAACAAAAATTACTTGTTATCTTGATTCTTTGAGAAAAGGCAGTGTTAATATTTTATAGTCTTTCTTTCTTGGTCTTTTATCTGTGGGCAGTATTTATGTCCATAAAAAATAAAGTCACGCTTTACATTCAGTTTTACAGCCTGCTTTTTTCAGGGAGTGGTGTATTGTGGTCATCTTTGCATGTCAGTAGAGGTGTATATTTTTTTCTGTATTCTCTTACATGATAGTACCCTAATTTATTTGAACATTCTTTCAGTGATGGATTATTTCTGGGTTTTAGATATTATAAATAATGTGAAGTATTCTTATACATCTTTACAGTGGTCTGATTTGTTTCTTACATTAATTCATAGAAAAAGAATTGTAGTTCACAGAACTATCACATTTTTAAGAGTCAGATGTTTGTAATGGCCTTCTCACCAAGGAACGTTGTATTCCCACAAAAGCTGTAATAATCTTCTAAATGTTTGCTATGGTATTCTTGTATGCAATGCCGATCTGTCATTACCTCATCCACTAAGATAGAATGTATCTGATCACACTCAGAAGGATCAGAAGGAAATAGGTCATGGGAAAAGGACCAGACTTTAGCAGGAAAAGTTGCCCTTCCCCTTGGAAGCAGGGTCTTTCTCCATCTTTCTGCAGATGCTGTGTTAGGCTGTTTGATTATATCATAAAGTGTTGACTTGGTAACTATGCAACAGAACATTTTATTCTTGTCAAAGGTTAAACAGCCATGAAAATGGAACATTATAGTTCATTTCAGTACCCAGTTTATTTCAAGTGTCTGGCTTTAACAAAGTCTCGGGAATATTGTTGTTAGTACTTTTCTTTGGAGGCCAATATGCTATGACAGAAATATCTCTTACTTGTGAATATACAAACTGCGATTGTGTAGAATTTTCTTGTTCCCTAAGGCAGGATTAATTTGATACTCTTCCACTTTTGCTGACACTGGGTCACACTGAAAGAATTATACCATTTACATTGTTACCAATTCATGTTCTCAAATTAATTATTGATAGTGGATTGGAATGCTGTTGTGTAGTAAGAATTGTTCAAGGTTTTATGGTTGGACTTAACATAAAATGCTTTGGTCGGGCAGGTAGTAGGCATTTTGCCTCTTGTGTTCTGCAGAAATGGAAGGAGCTTCTCCCCAAATGAACCTACCTTTAGAATAACATATAAACTTTCCTCTCCCTCTTCCTTTCCCCCTTTCCTTGTCTCTTCCTCTAAATATCTTCGACAGTTTTAAAAATTCACATTTTTCCTTACGAGCAACTCAGAGCCTAAAAGAATCAGCTGAAAGGTTAGTACAATGATCTTTATTGTTGTATGCATTGAATTTTTGACTTTCCTAAGTCTGCTTAATTAATTTAAAGTTTGGATGGCAGGAGAACAGAATGCCGACTCTTTTCTCTGACTTAAAAGAACAGAAAGTGGGGATAATGAAAATTCTAAATACTTGTTAAAACATTCTGTCTGGGGTAAATGGTTGATGACTTCTGAACAGGGAGCAGGATTTCGGATTTGGAAGGGAGCACAGCGGTTACCAGCAGGAAAAAGCAGCTGTGCTATGAATCCATGTAGTCCTGAGCAATTTCTGCATTAGTAAAATTGGGATAAATGACCCTGCCTCCGATGCTGTTCAAGGAACAAATGAGGTAATTCACGGAGAAAGTGCTGAACACAGTGCCTGGCACTAGAGTTTAAGTGCTCAATAAACGAGCGTTGCCGCCGCCGCCATCTTGTTGGCTGTCCCGTCCAGAGCCCGAGCGCCCTTCGGCGTGAAGAGTCCATGAGCCCGCTCACGGGTTCGTTTGCAGAGCCTGGTCTTGGCGCTTGGACAGCCCTGGAGAAATATCTTTGGGTGCTAAGTTGAAACATGCCTGCCTGTCATGTTTACCTGCGAGGCCCAGATCTCAGAGTGAGGGACAAGCCCCGTTAGGCCTAAGGGCTGTGCTCACCTCGCCGGTCATGCTCTTCTTAGCCAGTTTCGTCCATATTTCCTCGCCATTTTCGGCCTCCATCAGCTCTGCCCGAGCCTTCCTCCTGTCTTCCTGCACAAAGAGCCCCGCTGCAGAGCAAAGCCATGGTCCCTAGGAAGACAGATTCACGTGAGAGAAGAAGTCACTCAAGACCTTTCAAGTCCTTCAGCCAGAACCTGAGAGCCTTTTTGGTGTGTGAGGACACACCTGTGTCCCCTGCATGCCTGCCAGCTCTCATCCGTGTTTGCACACGCGTGAAGACCTGTCAGGCACTCTCACGTCGCCGGCGACTGAACGGTATGTTCTCCACATGAGCTGCAGAGACGTCCTGCATCTAGGCATTGCTGAGAGTTGGCTGGCTGGAGAGGAGTTTCGCTCAGGGCAATCCCATGGGTGGTATCACATTTGAATACAAGGTAGAAAGACACCTAGAAAATCAGTCATCTAGAAGTTGGTTTAGCTGGGCATTGCACATTAGAACTATATTTTGGGATATATGTTACTTGACTTGTTTGGGCTTCAGCGTTCTCCAATAGGAGATTGCTGTGATGATACATACCTACCTCGTAAGACTGTCGTGAGGATTCATGACAGAGCACATAGGGTTTAGCACAGGCTGGACACAGAGTTGGCCCAACAGTGGGTGATAGCGGTTGTGTCCGAAGCAGTTCTGTTCTAGAGAGAACATTTTGTAAAGGGGTGTTCACAGACGAACATAGGCCTGATAGATTTTTCCAGTCACTCAAACACAAACACATATGTGCCTACGCAGCACATACCCAGCAGTATGTCAGGTGCAGGACGGTCAGACATGAGTAAAGCTGTGATGCCCGAAGTTAATAGAAGACAAAAACAAGTCAAAAAGAGAAAGTCCCAGTTGCCCTCCATTCTGTGATGGCAAGTATGTCCGAGTGTTTTGCGGTCGTGAAGAGGAAAAATAGACTTTGCTGATTCAACTGGACAGGTGGAAGCACTCATGGATGGCCTTTCAGGTTATGCTTCTGAGTTGTGAGAGTCATTAAAAACAACTCTGATTATGGAAAATATCAAGCTTATATAAAAGTGAGAAAATAATGCAGTGAAGCGCCATGTGTCCATCATCCAGCTTCAGCAGCTGCCAGCTCGAGGCCAGTCCGTTTCATCTCTGTCCGCACGTCCGTTCTCACCAACCTCAGGTTATTTTGAAATGAGTTCAGTCATCATATCATTTAATGATAATTTTATCGTAAATAAATATAAATATTTCGATACGTGTTTCTAAAAGGCTAGAATTCATCTTTCTTCTTTTTTAAACCTTCCTATCATCCACATTAGAGATATGTTAGGTGTAGTGGTCATTCATGGTCTGGATATTATGAGATAAGCCTGAATTTGGCACCATAGGGCCAGTCACTAAATGAACAAATTAAAGGTTTTTTTTTTTTTTTGGTTTTTTTTTTTTTAAACTTTCATCCTTTGAAAGGTGCAAATAAAATTACATATTGCAAAAACTTCTGTTTTGTGTCATGTAACCTGACTTGTAGTTTTGGAAATGAGGTCTGCTTTTTAAAGATATAAATGCCCTCTGAAACGTGTTCTTTTCTTTTAAATCTAGAAAGTGAATAGGTGGGTTTCTTTGCTCCCTACTTAGCATTGAGATGATTTTTTAAACTAGAAATCAAAGCACAACTTTTGATTTCTACTCTTCCCTCTTAGAGGAAGAGAGAAAGAATACCTATCTGACGGGGCCTGCTCTATGAGAATTGGAGAAAATTGTGGCTAGTGCTGCCTATGTAAGTTTATCAAGTTAAGTTACAGGGCAGCTTTTTACAAAATGTTCAGAAAATAAGTGTGTGTGTGTGTGTGTGTGTGTGTGCGCGCGCGCGCATGTGTGTGTGTATTTCTTTTTGCTGGGCCTAAACCTTGCTATGTGGAATGATTTTTCCTTACTCTTCCATGAGCAAGAATGTTATTGAATAAAAAGTCAAATTCCTATGAAACATGCAGAGTGTTTATGTTTTTGTTATGATGGTGGAAATACCAGATTGTGGCAGAAGAAGTCAAGTAGTTAAGGCTAAAAATTCAAAGTAATATTTGATGTTGTAAAAATTGTATAGGTTTCTTTTCTCTTTCCTTCACATTTTTGAAGAACCTACCTTGTAAACATAGTGATAAAATGCCAAGAATATTAGGATTTTAAGGAAATAATAGAGCCTATTATTTAAACTACAATATAAAAGGCAATTATATTGATGAAGAGCTACATGGGCTTTGTGTGTGTGAATAAACTTGGCCTGTGTTCAGCTTCTATTTGTTCTTCTGGCATAAACACATATTGTGTGTGATTCCAGTTTAATGGGGACCCGTTTGTATGCCAAGCAGCTGCATTTTAGGACCTATTGCGTGATTTCATAGCTCTCTGAAAATTGGTTCTATTCAGAGCAAGAGATAGAAGAGGAGAGGGGGGTGGTGTGGAAGGGGGGGCAGAGCCTCAACACACAATCATTTCTTTTCAATTGGAGCCAGAAAGGTTGATGACAACATGACCATTGTGTTATAATGATAAGACCACTAAGGCATCTGTACCTCTCATCAAGGCTTTCACACAACAGCAGATACAATTTAATTCACTGCTCTGTCAGCAGTGCTGATACCATTATGCCGTCTGTCTCCACAGTTATAATCACTGTCCTCTGAGAAATGCAGTTGAAATGATCTTGAGCAGTCAAAGAAACTCTCAATTAAGGCTGCCACTTCCAATGTGTCAGATTGTGTCTTATGCACTTGGTACAATTTTCACTTCCAATCCTGTTTATTTACAATGTCTACCAGTAATTACGCTTAACGTGTCATTTAGTGAGGGGGGCCCCTGCCAAGCCGATTGTTGGGTGCTGCTGTACCATTGAGTGGGAGTTTCTCGAAGTCAATGCCATCAGCAGCTTTTAGGCCCTGATGGGATGCAGTAGTAATGTTGATAATGCAAGTATCGTGCTCATCAAGTCATAATTAGATGCCACTCAAATGTGCCACTTGTAATAACAGTGTTGATTCATGTTTTTCTCGGTGACTGCAACTACTAATTAGTTAAGTGGTTTTTGGTTGGCCTGCATTTGCTGCAGATTATTATTACCCCTGAAAAAATGTCAAGGTTAGAGATGTTTCTGGCCATTTAGTGCTGCTTTATGAATTTGAATATTAACATAATAAGAACTTTGGACAGACTTAGGAAGTAATACATTTTTGTATTTAATTTGGAGAGAAATTTTTTTCCCTTGAGTTTAATCATAATTGCAGGTTAATTAAGCTTAAATGAAGCAAAAGTAATCTCTCTTTGTGTTATGTGAGCCCCAGTGCTTTTTGCCTAACTTCGTAGGGTTTCACATTTGGGTGTACTTCGTTTTTCTTTTTTTAGCCAAACAAATGTCAATAAGTATACACGTCCACAGTGAAGTTTAAGATTCTGAGCATTTTCTTTTAACTAAAAATGTGGGGGAAAGGAATTGGTACTTTTCTCTCAGATGATCTTCGAAGTATAATTCAGGTTCTAAATTACTTTGTACCTTTGAATCTCAATCTATATAAACCAGCTACTGAAAGAGCCTGAAAATTACTATTTTTCAAGCATTGGTAAAGTGTCCAGTAAAATTGCATTTTTCTCCCAATCTTCCTGACAGTCTGTGATGCAAGAAGGCTCCACATTCATCGTCATCGAGTACATAACTGGGGTTGCTATACTTTTCTGCCCCAGAGTTTATTAAATCACAGTAACTACTTTGTCTCTCATAGAGAAGGCTGTTGCATGCTGACCTGAGCTAAACTGCCACCTTGTTATTCTGGTGAAGGAGATCAAGTTAAGATTTAATTTTAAAAATTTCTTGCTAGCTGATTTTCCTTCTTAGATCCAGGGGTTCTGTCTCACTAAGAAAAGGAAATCGTGTTTGCCACTTTTCATTGAGGAGAGATTCTTTCATCTAAGTTAGTGGACGTGTCTAAGACTCTGTGTACAGCTACATAGAAAAAAGACACTTAAAGGCAGCCTAACTAGCTTTCTTAAAAATGTGTGCATTGGAAATGAAGGCTCTTCATTGCGTTCTATTTTTCCCCCTCCATGTCCAAATATTAGCTAAGATTTAATCAGGGAAGCAGCTTCGAGACTGTTTTTGTTTGTTTGTTTGTTTGTTTTTTGTTTTTCTCTCCTCCATGCCCGCTGAAGGCCTGGCGAGCTAAAGAAGTGAAGTATTCTGAGTCATAGGACACAACGTGTGGGCTTCTGGAATCGCTGACTAATCTCTGAATGCTGAGACTTTTTTCCCCTCATTCCTAGTTTCTCACATGGTTATAGAGGAAGTCAATTTTATGCAGAACCATCTTGAAATAGAGAAGACTTGTCGAGAGAGTGCTGAGGCTCTGGCGACAAAGGTGAGACTCTTCAAATAAGGGAATTCTACCTGTGCCTTTTAATTTCAACTTCTTTTCTGAAGAGTGACCTCCTATCTGCTTTTGCTTTTCTAGTCCATTGCCTCCACTCTGATGAGGAGGAGAAGTTCCGTAAAGTGCTGTAAATTATCAAAGCCCTGGAATAGGGTTATGTAAATATCTTAATGCCTAGGTTCTTTCCATTGTAAAAGGGGCATTTGCATGTGTGTATTTCAGCATTGGTGCTTTCTGCCTCTAAAAAATGGCCCAGAGTCCATCTTTCAACTGGACTTTCTTAATGTCTGAGCATTGGGTGAAAACATTCACCAAGTTTAAAATGAACCTGGTGTGGCATAAAGGGAGCAATGAGTGTTTCACGTTTGATTTAGATAAAAAAGTCAGCCTCCAGCCTTACATTTCAGGTGATTATTTGTGAAAGCAGAGTGAGGGCATGCTAAAGGTGACCTCCAGTGCTCCACTGATTGCTTCTCACTGATGAATTTACCAAGAGTGTAATTTTCTATATTCTATCTCATCAGAAGTACATTATTATTAAAGAATGTTTTTTATCTCTGTCTTACGTATTTTGGGTCGGGTAAAATGCATCTGAACCACTTCATCAGAAAATGGATTACAGCAATTTTTAACCAAAAATCATTAGTAATGCCGGTTGTGGGCCTTTCTCTTTTCCCCATCACCTCCCTCCAAAGTATGTCTTTGGATGTCACTGAAAGTCTGCAAATCAATCAGCCAATCTGTCTGTGTATCTCTCTGTTTAATTTGTGTGCATTAGCAGTGTGCTTGCTAGAGGTATTTGCTTAATTGTTTGTGTAATGACACTACATTAGAATTCATAAGATAATGCAGTCAGAACCCAAGAATATAAACATGTACATGCAACTTCTCTTCTGTTATTCCTTTGAAGAATACACAGCACTATGGGCCATTGCTTTAAAAACAGTGATCATGTGGGTGCTTTCATATCATTTCTTCTGCTCTACCCTTCATTAAGTGTTCACTGGTCTGCAAAACTGGGTGAATCCTCTTTTTCGTATCCTTTATTCCTTCTTTGGGAACAGATAGAAAAAAATGTCTTGGGAGCATACTAGCTGCTCTGAACCTTGCAGTGGCTAAAGATAGTCCTTGGATTTTTCTCTTGCTATCCATAAGTATCCCTGTTGCCAGTAGTACATTGCAAAATGAGAATACGGACTACCTCGCAGGACTGGCAGAATTAATGGAAAGCAACAGTTTGGGGGTTTTATTCCCAGTGATGTCATTTTGGGCTGTGACTTTGGGCAAGTTACTAGTTCTGGTCTCTGGACTGCTGTGTCTCATCTCAAATGACAGGATGAACTAGAGTTAGGACGGCAGGGAGAATGGGACAGACTTCCCTTTTTCCATGATGCACTCCACTCACAGGTCCGTACAGACCCTTTTAAAAAAATGATTTGAGCCCCTCCCCTTTTTAACAGGTGACTTTGAGCAAGAGAATGAACCTCTCTGGGGTTTTACAGTTGCCTTGTCCTAAGTGTCAGGGTGGACCAGCATTGATTTCTTAAGAATATCCTAGACCCACTGATGCTGGGAATGTGGCCCAGGCCAGGTTTGTGCTGAGAAAGCTGCCAGGGGACTGTTGTCTTCATCCGTCCCTGTTTATGAACCACTGTATTACTAATCTCAAAGGTCAGTTTTATAATTTAGTCTTGACAATAGGATCCTTCACTTACACGTTTTGTCCTCTATTCATGAAGTCTTTCGAAGTGGCCATATGGTTTCTTTTTGAGGCTACAATGTGGCCTTGTGGGACTTGGAATAAAAACAGGTCAGAAAGCCTATAGATGTGCTCATTGGATCTGGAAGATACTACAGCTTTGAATGCAAAGTCTGGAAGCTTCATTATATGCATGATCAATAAGTAGCACATACTGGGGTGCCTGGGTGGCTCAGTGGGTTAAGCCTCTGCCTTCGGCTCAGGTCATGATCTCAGGGTCCTGGGATCGAGCCCCGCATTGGGCTCTCTGCTCACTAGGGAGCCTGTTTCCCTCTCTCTCTCTTTGCCTGCTTCTCTGCCTACTTGTGTTCTCTGTCTGTGAAATAAAATCTTAAAAAAAAAAAAAAAAAGTAGCACATCCTGATTTAGGTATCCCAATTGTCATTTTTGAAAGTAGACTCCATTTTTAAAGCAGCAAAGTTTCTGTAAATTTCTTCTTATTTTTCTAAATCTTTGCTCTCAAATTAATGGCAAATGGGATGTTCTTAAGATGCAGTTTGCATAATTTTCTTAAAAGCAAGGGTGGATGCTTTGGTAAAATGTGTAGGTTAAACTGATAAATGTAGACCAATTATTTAAACCATATGGTCCAAATCTGCTTAACTTGCTTATTACTTTGTATCTTTAAATATTCATTAAGCTTCACCCAATATAAAAACTATTTAAATTTGAACATAGAAGATTCTGCTACTGTAGGTTTATAAAAGATTTATTTTTGCTTTGTGACTTAGAATCATTCCAAAAGACAGTATGCATTAACATATAACTTGATGAATAATAACTTCAGTGAAATTGCATTGCCAAAATTTGTGAATTCAGAGTTTTCAAAAATATCCAGTTAGTATGGTCATGAGATCTTTACGTACGTAAATCTTATGTTTCTTCCTTCAGAATGTGAGAATGATGTTTCAGAGAAATTTCCTTGTGGCTTTTTTTTTTTTTTAAGAGTAGGCTCCACACCCATCATGGGGCTTAAACTCATGACCCTGAGATCAAGAGTCACATGCTGTACCGAATGAGCCAGCCAGGTGCCCGGTGTGTGGCTTTTTTCTTGAGTTAATAACTTTGTTGAAGAGAGTAGTTGTATTATAACCACATAGTGCTGGCTGGGAGATTCTGATTCCTGGCTTGATAGAAAGAGGCATTAAACTCTTTTGAGGGTAGAACGATTAATGAACAACTTATTAAGTATTATTGTGACAGTGGCCCAGGACCGAGCCTGCTAAACACCAGATAACAAAAATTAGTGGTTTTGTGCTTTCATGAGGATCCTGGAAGAAGAGAAAATTGCACAGATGTATATGTTGGTTGAAAAAAACTAGCTGATAAAGTATTCCCAAAGAAAAATCAGACACACACCCCGAATACCTTTTGTTCCTATCAGGAGCAGACACTGGCTTTTTCCTGCATGTCCACCACTGTACAAAGCGCTTCCTGTGTAATGTCTCACTCAGTGCGCACGTTATGGGGCAGAGGCTATTTTTACCCTTAGTTCGTGGAGGAGGAGACCACCACTGTGAAAGGTGAAGTTATTCTAGAGTCAGAGACGTTGGATTGTAGAGCAGGATTCTTGCCTCTGGTTTTATAGAAACAGATATAGAAGTGTTGCCTTTCTCTGTGTCAAAGATTCTTCGTAGTGATGCGTAACAGAATCACCTGGGGACCCAGAGAGGGTGCTCTGCTGGGTTCCTCCGCCAGAGATTTGGGTCTGGTGAGAGAGCCTGTGCACTGGGATTTTGTAAAAGCTCTCTGGAGATTCTAATGTGGCGTGTTGGAAACCATTAGTTTAAGTATTATTAGGAGGCAGAATTACAAATGAAGTCTTGACTGTTTTCACTTTTGCCTTCAATTTTGATTTTTTCCCCACCATTCAGAAAAGATGGCACCATCTGAGTATCAGGCAGGATCCTTGAGCCTTTCATGCCTGCTGAAGCGCCTGTGGTGCCAGGAACCCACAACAGGCTTTACAAGAATGTTTTATCCTAGGGGAGAGAGGCTTGGAGATCATGGGCTCCTGTCTTATCCCTGATCCTCTAATGGACTGTCGGGAGCTAGAAGCTGGAGCTATGGGCTGGGCACAGGGAAGAAAGGGGCTGTGTGGGATTCCCTGAGTAGAGCTCACGAGGCTTCCCAGGGGGAAACTTTGGAAGGGTTCAGAGGTCTGGGAAACCTCTTGTGCCCGCATCAGGCTACTTGGGATATAGTTAGATTCAGTGTTCTTGGGGTGAGAATCAGACCTCCCTGTTTGAAATGGTCTGGACTTTTTCCTGAGGGAAGCCTAAAGGGTGTTAATTATGAAGACCCTTTATGAATGACGGACCAAATGAAGGACCCAAGCTGGGCCAGTACCAGCATGTCTTACTCTGATGTAAAGTTGTAGTAGAGAAGGTAGTTATTAGCTTTCCAATGAGTTGGGTTTCTGTTTCTATTTATTTCCAGTGTCAGTTGTTTAATTCAGAACTTGTCTTGGTCGCCATTAGCCCTGAGTGAAAGAAGAGAGGTTGCATTTCTGTATGTGCATGTGTTCATAGGAGACCTTTTATTTTTTAGTCTTAAGAAGAGAAAACACAAGGAAACCATACTTTGCTTCTATGGGCTTTGGACCACGTTGAGTCTTTGTGCTTTGCACTAACTCCGGTACGCATATAAACATGGGAACCGAAGAAGACGATGGTAGTTGAGTGACTGAAACTAAAGAACAATTCATTTCTGCAAAGGGAATAACAAATACATTAATTAATTAAGATCTCTTTTCTTTGCTATGAACTAGAACTCTTTTTATAGAGAGAACAGAAACATACCTTGTACTTCCTTCCACTGTCAAAAGAAAAAAAAGTAGAAATTTGTTAGTGAGGGATATTGGGGAATCCCATGGAATCCATGAGCTAGGAGCATTTTGAGAATGGACCAGAGTCCTGTGGGAAACCCATCTCCATTATTTTTCTCTGTGTGTCTCTACACACCAGCTCCGTTTTTGGCTTTGCAGTGGACTACCTTCCTCTGTTCCTCAGTTCAGTAGTGAATCATGATTGCCTACAGCATCTGTACCTCTGGACACACGGAAGGAAACTCATCTCTGTCCTAGCCTCCAAATTTCTAGAGGAGGGATTCGACTGACCACGCTTAGGCTCATGTGCCTGATCCCCAGACTGATTAGCTGCAGTCAAAGGGATGGGGGGTTCTCTAGGGGAGCACAGTTGTTCCTGTAGGAATGCTGTGGAACAATGAAGAGGAGTAGCAGGTGTTCAGAGAAGAGGGAGGGCTGGGCTAACAAACATTTGAAGGGTGGGCACAACAGCAAAGAAAACATTTTTTTGAAGTGCCTTAATTAGGACTATTAAGGATGGAATAAGTTGAAATTTGATTAAATCTATACTGGTGTCTTATCTTAATAATTCTCACGTTATCAGTTAGAACTAGCATTTCCCCATGCTGCTGGCTGTAATCCAGGCATCAGGTCTTACTTTAGTAAGTTTAATACTAAAAAGTGTAAATAAAACCTTACTTCATGAATCTTCTAATTGTTAGTTCATGCTGTGGGTGTTGATGAATATGTAAGACAGAAATACACTCAATCTGTCTATTGTTTAAAAATGCAAGACACTCATTTGACTGCTGTTAAAATGACTGTTTTTATATTTTGCCTTAGCTAAATAAGGAAAATAAAACATTGAAAAGAATCAGCATGTTGTACATGGCCAAGCTGGGACCAGATGTAATCACCGAGGAGATCAACATCGATGACGAAGATGTCAGCACCGACCCAGAAGGCACCGCGGAGACCTGTGTCTCTGTGCAGTGTCAGAAGCAGATCAAAGGTGGGATGCTTGGCTTCATCACTGGGCACATTTTGGATAATGTTTCTCAGCCCTGGGTGCCCATTGGAATCACCTGAGAACCTTAGAACTTGGGTCCTGCTTCAAAAAGTTTCAGATTTAAATGTCCCAGAGAGCAGCCTGGTTGAGAATCATGATACGATGTGATGTTGGTGCATTATGAATTAGTTTCTCATTTGCGATTAGACACTTTTGAAAGTGTTGTCTTGATGGAAACAGCCAGTTTGTGAAATTCTTAAAAATATGGACTACACGTTGAGATAATTTTGTTAAGTGAAAGAAAGAATGGATAAAAATATATGTAGCCCATGCCTCCCATTTTTCTGGTTCTTTTTGGGAATCTTTGGGGAGGATTCCTCCCCAGATGGCTTAAGTCTCTGCCCTCAAAGGACTTCTCATCTGATTCAGGCACTGAGCTGTAAGCAATCTGCGGTGTTCAACTTAGACACAGTTAGACCACTCACTGTGTCGGTCAGCGGCACGTAGAATATCACATGGAACCTCTATTAAATATACTTTAATTTTATTCTTGATTGTATATACACCTGATTATATGTACACACTGTTTATGTTACAGATGGAGAAGAGCAGTCGGGGGCTCAATGACTTTTAGGGTATTTTAGCATCAGGCGCATGCCAAAAGCAACACTTACTAGCATGTTGGGTTGGATAAAACTGCAGTTGGAAGGAGGGGAAAGGAGGTATAAAGAAAGCCATTGTTACCTGACAGTCCACCCCCCTGACCTAAGACAAAATAATATTTGTATGGGTGGGGAGGGAGTAGTTTACAGGATTTTCTTCTGTTCATGATTCTCCCCTCGTCTTAGGTCTGAGACAGTATAGTCTCTCGTTCCTCCTTCAAGATTAGCCAGCCAGTGGAGAAAGAGGTTTTGAAATAAGATCTGAGAACTATTCCAGGCTGGCCTCCTGTAAAATCTTGGTTCAATTTATAAATAACTCCAGAGAAGGTTTTTAATTAAAAGCAGTTAAAACCTGAGTAGCAAACCTAGAGGCCTTGGATATCCATTTAAGGACTGACTCTGTGCTAATCTGTGTATATATATTTTTAAAAGATTTATTTATTTGAGAGAGAGAGATGGAGAGAGAGGAGAGGCAGAGGGAGAGGGAGAGAGAGAATCCTCAAGCAGACTCCCAGCTGAGTGTGGAGCCTGACTTGGTGGGATCCTGACTTGGTGGGATCCCAGGACCCTGACATCATGAGCTGATCTCAGGCCGAAGTCAAGAGTCGGCGCTCCACCAACTGAACCACCCGGTCACCCCTCTTGTGTACTTTTTTACTGTTTGAGTGGTGGGAGTAACTTTCATCTATTACCAGAAGCTTTTGCACTTCATGGTTGCTAATAGTTTCATTTTGGTAATACAGTTTTCATTAAATTCCAATAAGAAGAACTAGGAAATAAATTAAGAAACAAAGCACCAACAACTCTGGATAGAAAATTACTAGAATTAACCCTTTTGCAAATAGGTTATATTTTGAGTCCATTCAAATAACGTTTGAGGGCTATAAATTGGCAACGGGTCAGGATTTTTTTCTGCAAATCAAAACCTGCAAATTATCAACTGCCCCATTGTTTGTAATATTTTATTGTGACAAGAGCCCATGGCCATTTTAAAATAAAAAGGAAATTAGCAATATGCCTTAATTTGTTTTGCTGAAATCTTAAAACATTTATTTCTAAAATGCCAGATAGTTTCCTAAAATATGGGCTGATAGCGTGCAAAGAAAACATGATCTGGTACATTTAATAACACAGTGAGATTGCATGGTATAAAATTATTAATAACTGTGGCTGCATATAGGGGCAAAGAAGTGAGATTTCCATCATTCTCTGCTTTATTTTCATTTTAATTGTTAAATAACCTTGATTGTAAGCTACATATGGACTGGCATTTTCAGTTCTTTTGACAAGATTAATTTCTTCTTTTAAGATAAGTTTAGAAGTTACTACACCTAAAACTAATGTTGTACTATAAGTTCACTAATTGAATTTAAATTAAAAAGTAAGTTTGCTTATATTGTTTTCCTCCCCTTGTTTTTTTCTTTAAAAATGCAGAACTTCGAGATCAAATTGTATCTGCTCAGGAGGAGAAGAAGATACTAGCAATTGAATTGGAAAATCTGAAGAGCAAACTTGCAGAAGTAATTGAAGAAGTATGTATCTTAGGCCTGAAAAGCAAGACTTTGGGTGTTTTTAGGGTGTTTGGCTAAGTTAAAAACTTGCTGTTGGAAGTTGATTTCAGGCATGAGAACCATGTACCAATTCTGACCTTCTCTTCTCCCCTCCATTTCAAATATACGGAAAGGTGTAGAAAATAAGATCATGAACATTCGTATACTCACTACCCAGCTCAGTAAATCAGCAAAATAGCAATGAAGTGTCCCCATTGTGCCCGTATTTCACTGTGGGAGGCAGATTTGTAAGAACGCTCTCTGCAATTTAAGTCATCTGCTTTATTGCTGCTGGGGAAGAAGTATTTGGCTTCTCCATCAGATGGTTTGGCTCAGTTGGGAAGGGCTGTCTTCTTGTGTACCAGCAACATAAGTGTATAGATGTAGAATGGGTTCAAAGTGGGTGCTTCAGAAATCTTTTTATTTTTCCTTTTGAATGGTCTTTAAGAACAGGAGCACATAATTGCCTTTCTGTGCATGGTGCTTCAAGGAACTGCCTTTGCAGTCATGATTTAACTGGTGTCCGTGGTTCCCAGATTCTATAGCCCCAGCTTCTAGACCCATCCCTCAGGTGGCTTATGGGTAATACTGAGGCCTTGAGGCTTCCATCCCTTCAGTGGGCAACCTTACCCAGCGACCTCAGTTTGCATACCTATCTCACAGTTTTCCTAAGGGCCAGAATGCGAGAAAGGTTGGGAGGTGGTGTCCACCAACTTCAGCCTTGCATTTACTTCGTGTTGCAGAACATGCTGAGGCACGGGAAGGACGATGCTGTTTTGGAAGTGGCATTTAGAAGTGGGGAGTGTACGCCAGTTACTAATTGAGACCAAAACCAAAAACGGAGCTTACGCTAAAAGCATCCAGTTCGCAGACTCTCTGGCGTGCCGATGGGTTCAGAGTCCTTTTCCAGGACCATTATCTTAGTTTCTTTCTTGACTGAAACCATAGGAGAGAGACAGACATGTTTTGATGCACTCTCTTCCTCAATTATGATTATTTACTGATGATCCTGTCCCCCTCCCACTTAGAGGTGTTACTGGAAATCCTTTCAGAAGTTCCTTTTATTACGATTATTTCAAACATGTGAAGAGTATAAAAAACAAAATAAGGAACACCCATATGTCTACTATCTAGCTTAATATGTAGTCTTAACAACCCCAGTGTCTCTCTGACTGTATTCCCCTCACTCCATGCCCTATTTCCCTACACAACCATTATTCTGAATTTGGCTTTTATCATTCCAGTGCGTGTATGTATATATATATATTTTTTTTCTTTTGCTACAATACATAGGATTTTGAGTGTTTTCTAGATGATGTGAATGTACCTGCTTTTTATTTTTTTATTTTTTTAACTTTTATTTTAAGGAGTCTCCGTACCCAGTGTGGGGGTTGAACTCACAATCCTGAGATCAGGAGTCAAATGCTCCACTGACTGAGCCAGCCAGGCACTCCTGTACCTGCTTTTTAAAATTCAGTGTAGTGCATTTGAGACTTACCCACTTTGATACACCTAACTTCACATTCTTTTTTTAAAATGGTCCCTTCATAGTCTCTTCCCATTGATTGATGTCAAAATTATCTCAGAAATGTAAGTCTTTTGGGAAGATTTTTGTGTGTGTTTTATTTAAGCCAGAAGTCATCAAAGTTTAAAGTATTTTTTATTTTAAAAATACATGCATTGTTTTCCTTAAGTTAAATATCATCAGAATTTGAAGTGAATATCAAAGTTGAGTATTGGATCTCTGACTACATGATTTGTCTACTTTCTGGGTGCTTTCTACTTGGATTTTTGCCTTAAAAATATCAATCATTTACATGGGTAGGGACCAGTGCCATTTGGAATTTGTAAGAAAGTTCTCTACCAAAGGTATATCCTATCTTAAACAGCTACCTCTGAGGCCTTAAGAACAACTTTACTAAAAGTCCAACACGGTAAAGCCATTACTGCCTGAAATTGTAACTTCATGTTGAATGTTGAACAGCAGTCTGTGTGTCACACATCACCTTATGTCATGTTTTACAATGTCGGGTGTTTTCTTCCCTCACAATTTCACATTTTTAGGTAAATAAAGTTAAACAAGAAAAAGATGCTTTAAACTCAGAAGTTCTTGAACAGAGAAGAGTCTTAGAAAAATGCAATAGAGGTAGGTGTTTGAGTCTTTTTTTGCAGATACCTATGTAATTTATTTGGTTTGCATACATTTTGTGTTGTTTTGTACCTGTGCCTGAAGAGTCTTGGAGCAAAAATAACCTGTCTTGGTTTTCCTGGTTTCTAGCCACGAGTCTCTCTCTTTCCAGTTATTTGATCACCCACCTTAGGGTCTTGGGACTTCTAAAAGTCCCTTCACTTGAGGAGCGTACGACCCGCCTCAAACCAAAACACTGTTCTATCTACATGGATCCTGGGACCATGGCTATATTGGCACTCCCCTCAGTAGTTATATATTTGGTAGGTGATTTTTAATCCGAAAGAGAGAGGATATCTACACAGATACATGTGACATGATATGAAAACATTTTAAATTACGAGAATATACAAAATGGGGCAAAGCAAAAGTACAATTAAATACCGCTCTACAAGGTTGCATGCTTGCCGTGAGGTCTCGTGCAGTCCTGCCTGTGTGCAGTCAAGTCTGGCTTGGAGCCAGAGTGATGAGAGATTTATGACCGTCCATATGAATCATATTAAAATGATCCTCTTGATCAGGAGATGCAGGCCTGGTATTGTGGTGAGAAGGAGCTTTCTCCAAAGGCTACCTCTAGAGTAAACGGAATCCTTGCTGTAAAACACAGCAGCAAGTCCCATGGGGGCTGTGTTTTTGCGTCCTCTGGTTCAGGACAAGGGAGTGATGCCTGAGTGCAGGAAACCTTTGAACTTTCCCTGTTGTCATTGGTGGTAGTTCTCCACCTTTGGGGGACGAATTGAGATTTTTGAATAAATAAAGGACCTTGTAATTCAGTGTGGGAGACGCGGTAGATTCTGACATTTCTCAGCTCTTTCCCACATTTAAGAAGATAGAAATGGTTTTGATGTACTGTGCTAGACACAGAGGGTTCTACAAAGGTCGATCACATGGATCTTGCCTTCAGAGAGCCCTCTCCGTAGGAAGAGAGAGAGATGGTATAAATAAATGCATGGTGAGGACCAGCCTAATTTCTTACAGAAGCCAAGTCAGAACGGCCAGGACATGTGAAAACTCACTTTTCGTTATGGTGTTCTGGACTTAGAAAAGAGCCTCAGTTACGTTGCCCCAGGCCTTCAAATAGTCATAGTTGTCTTTGTTTCCTTCGTGAAATTTTCTTTTTTAAATAGGTTTGAAAGTCATTTGGCTCTCAGGGACCTATAATTCACATCACAAACCACCACTTACATTGCTTCACTGGAGTAAGGCTGTTCGTCTTTCCTCCGAGAAGTCAGGAGATTTACAGAGTTTGAAATTCTATGTCATTACACAGCAAACCGGTCCTTAGTCAGTTAGGGCTGAAGTGTCCTGGCGGAACATTGTGTGAAAGCGGCCATTAAGAGCGCCTTTTTAAAGATTTTATTGCTATGACTCAGCTCAGGATTGAAAGTGCCTGTGTCCAGGCAGATGGAAAGACCAGTGTGAGATCTGCCTATGTTGTGCCTAATTCCTAATGGCGTCATCACTCCCTCGGTCCTGCCTATGTCATTATTTAACAAAACAGGCCACAGAATGTCAAAAAGTAGCAAAGATTTCATGTTTCTCCTATTTGATAGACCTTCCCTTTGAGATTCCTGTCCTACAGTGATTTTTTAATTCAGAGCTCTGACTCTGGGCCTCAGTGGATCTAAGGCCATTTCTCTGTAAACATGCTTAAACATGTAAATAAGCTTAAAAAATATATATATATTTTTTTTCTTTTTATTCAGGTAATACATTTTTTTGGTGGAAAACATAGATTCAAATAGAAAAGGAAAAAAAAATTTCAATCTTACAGTCCAAAGATAAGCACTTATTAACGTCATGTATATTCTTCCAACCTTAGGACAATGATATCTATAAATAAATCATTTGTTAAATGTGTTTATAACATTTATGGAAGCTGAAAAAATATCAGCAAAAGAAATACGTCTTTACCCATTGATACTTTACAAGCCCCTGAATATCGATCTCCACTTGCATCCCCTCACGTAGATTTTTATCATTGCTTTTGTTTATAGTTCTACCAGGTGTGTACAGATCTCTAAGCGGCATGTTGTTTAATTTTGCATGTTTTTGAGTTTTCTATTCATGCTATCACCTTGCACATGTCCCTGAGCATTTTTTGGTTTGTGAGGTCTCTATTTGCCCTGGTAGGTTAACTTTCCCCACTGGATAGTATGTCATTCACTGTCTGTCACAGAATTCATGGTCTTTTCTGTGGCTATTTGAGTTTTTTCCAGTTTTCTGCTATTCCAAGTCCTGCAGTTATGAAAATTCTTACATGCATCTTTCCGGTGCACGTGCCCTCACATAACATGCCAAATGCCAGAGTTCACCTTCAACGTCGGCACATGATTCCAGGTTACTTTTAGGTAGATTTTCACTCCTGTGAGCAGTGTGTCCTTTCCCATCGTCCTGTGTCCTCTCCAAACTTGGTGTAACTCTGCTTCTTGATTTTTGCCAGTTCCCTCTCTGCTGAGTCTAAAAAAGTGCCTGTGTTTTTACTTTCCGTTTCTCTGATTACCAACGAAGATGAGCATCTTCGCACACGTTCACCGGCCTTTCACACGCTTCCGCTTCTGTGAAATGCCTCACCGGTGTGTTTTGTATGCAGCTTGTAAGAAACAGAAATGAAGTCATTTAAAAAGTATATGTCATGACTATCTTTTGTTTCCACAAACATGCTCCTGCAGTGTCATTTCCATGGCAGAATCCTGTTTGCCGTACATACCGTGCGTTCCTGGGTCTGCCGTGGGACACCATCTGGGTCATTTCTCTGTTTGAGCAGCGACGCCGAGAGTGCTCTTGGGGCTGTGCTGCTGGATGTGTTCATGATTTGTTCTCTTGAGGGAACTGGTACGTTCCTAAAAGCGGAATTCTCGAGTCAGAGGGTCTGAATGGTTTTAGATTTTTGATTCACGTTGCTGAGCTGCTCTCAAAAACGTTTGATCTGTTCATACTTGAGTCAGCAGTGGCTGAGGGGGCCTGTGTGCTGGTACGCAGAATCTTTGCAACACTGCTTTTCATCCATGTTCCTGACCGTCTGTGTGGTCACTGGTCTTTGTGCGTTTCTTTTCCTTGTCTGTTCCTAAGTGTCCATGCTGGCGGTAGAAGAATATGAGGAAATGCAGGTAAACCTGGAGCTGGAGAAGGACCTTCGAAAGAAGGCAGAGTCATTTGCACAAGAGGTAAGCATCCACAGAGACCTAGTTTTAGATTTGTGTTTCTTAAAGAACTTTGCAGGTGACGTGTCAAAATGTGTGTGTTTTTTTTTAAAGATTTTATATATTTATTTGACAGAGAGAGCGAGAGAGCACAAGTAGGCAGAGCAGTAGAGAGAGGGAGAAGCAGGTTCCCCACTGAGCAAGGAGCCCGATGCGGGGCTCGATCCCAGGACCCTGGTAATGACCTGAGCCAAAGGCAGATGCTTAACTGACTGAGCCACCCAGGAGCCCCAAAATATGTTTTGAAGTTGAAAAAGAACTTAACATTTAGAATTAAGGGAGGCCAACTATGGGATAATGTCAAGTTCACTAAAACAGGTGTTAGAAATCTGGGTTCATATTTTGGCCGTATCAGTCAGTCGCTCATTGTATGACCTGAGAGCAGCCCTTTTAGTTCCTTGGGGCTTCACTTTCACCATCTGTAAAATGGGTGATGCTATCAGCCCAACCAAGTAGATTTTGAAATCTGGTAGCACAGTTCTGCAAAAGGATTTCGTACTATAGAATGCTGTTATAGGGGAAAGAAATTACATTTAGGGATACCTGCCTCTTGTGATGCAAAGTCCAGCTTGAATATAGGATTTCTGTCTGTTTCAACAGCTTTAGGAATCTAGGCTAATCTCCAAATACCATCTCAAATAACAGCATCGTGGTGTTAGTATTTTTCTTCACCTGTTAGACAGTGATCTCATTACGTGAGCTGATCTTTCTGCTTGCTGTGGAACATTGCCGTGGTGTGCGTCCATCATTGTAGGCTTTCACCAGAGTCCTGGTTCTCCTCTCCTATCAGAGATAAGCTTTGAGCTTCTCATGTTCCGGCTTCCCTCTGTTGACTTGTTGTCACTGGATATTCCGTGGCCCGGGGCTGGTTTACAGGGAGATGGTGAGGCACCGGTTGGCAGAACTGTAAGGGCTCGTGACGGGGCACTGGTCTGCCCAAGATTTCCATCATGTCTCAGTATTTTGAATCTGTGTGCACACCGCAGGTTGCGAGGGAAAGTAGCTACAGAAATGTAAAACATCTATAGGTAGAAGTATCCAAGGTGCTAGAGGAAGATGAAGCGTGGGGCTGTGGGAATGACATTTGAAAATCAGATTATGGTTTTGTGCAGGAGTCTTTCTGCACCTAAGTGTAGCTGTGCTAGCAATGAACTCTGGGAAAGGTTTAGTCCATGATGCGATTTGAAATATTCTCATTCATTTTATTCAGAGAGCTTAATGAAAGGTGAGTAAAAATTGTTCTCTTATTACTTGGAAGAAAGAAAAGAAATTGAGGCGTGTCAGAGCCCTCCTTGGGAAAGCTGCAGCGATAGAAACAGTGGAGGGGAAGAGATACGGGGGCTCATGGGAAGATGCCTCCGAGGTCAAACTGAAAAGGTGGGCTTGTTTTGACCCAAATGCCAGGGTCTGTCTTTGATAGACATTTTCAGTTTTCCATCTATTGTTCGTGGAATGATGTTAGAATACAAAGCAGCTCGAGGAAGACTTGAAGGCCACACAGTAGCAGAGAAGATAGACACAAGAAGCAGGATTCTGCCAAGAATCTGAAGACGAGTGATTTACTCTGCCCTTCACCGGCCCTGTGATCAGTGACCGTGACCTTGACACTGGCTGAGAAGCCAGAGGCGGGAGAAGGGAAGGCCAGGGTGGCCACTTGCACTCTTCCTATGGGGAGCCTCAGAGTTTGCAGCCGTGCTGGATGGTTTTACAGTATCTAGATTCCATCTGCACAATTGTGAGAAGAAAACTGTTGTTGGGGGCGCCTGGGTGGCTCAGTGGGTTAAAGCCTTCGGCTCAGGTCATGATCCCAGGGTCCTGGGATCGAGTCCCGCATCGGGCTCTCTGCTCAGCAGGGAGCCTGCTTCCCTTCCTCTCTCTCTGCCTGCCACTTTGCCTACTTGTGATCTCTCTCTGTCAAATAAATAGATAAAAATTAAAAAAAGAAAAGAAAACTGTTGTTGTTCTTTAAGATTTTTTTTTTTTCCTTTTTTTTTTTTTTTTCAGGATTTTATTTATTTATTTGACAGACAGAGATCACAAGTAGGCAGACAGGCCGGCAGAGCGGAGGGGGGGAAGCAGGCTCCCCACCAAGCAGAGAGCCCGATGTGGGGCTCGATCCCAGGACCCCGAGATCATGACCTGAGCCAAAAGCAAAGGCTTTAACCCACTGAGCCACCCAGGCTCCCCTAAGATTTTTTTTTTCAAGTAATCTCTACACTTAGTGTGGAGTTTGAACCTACAACCCCCAAGATTGAGAGCTGCGTGTTCTACAGACTGAGCTAGCCAGGCCCCCCAGAAGCTGTTCTGTAGAATAACATTAGGCTAGAACCCATACACCTTCCCCTTTGCACGGTTTATAGACCCGTACCTGCTGCTGCTGCTAGTTTTTTTTAAGATTTATTTATTGATTTGAGAGAGCATGCGTGTGAGCGGGGAGAGGGGCCCAGGAAAGTCCTACAGTCTCCTCACGGGTGAGCTTCGTGACCTGAGTGGACACCATGAGGACTCAGGTGCTTAACCGTTGGAGCCACCCAGGTGCCCCGACTCTCAGCGTTTCAGCGGAAAACTGTTGCTAAAATGTGGAGGTCTTGGTTTAACAGGAGAAGAGCCGGTCTTGTACATTTGGGTTTTTTTTGTGTTCAGCAGGCGTCTTCATAAGCCAGACACTGTGCTGACAGTGGGAATATAAGGGTGAGGAATTCAAGTGCGATCCCTGCCCCTTTGGAGCTTATAGTCTAGAGCCCTAGAATTCAATAAAGTAATTTACTTTGTATTTTTAATTACAAAAGGAATACATATTCCTTGTAAAAGGTATATACCTTTTTACAAAAACTATTTGTAAAAAATATGAACAGTTCTCAGATGTGGAAAGGAAAACATGGAAAGTTTCTCCCACACTCCTACTTCCACTTGTTCATTTGAAAAACAAAAGCTGCAGGGCGCCTGGGTGGCTCAGTGGGCTAAGCCTCTGCCTTTAGCTTGGGTCATGATCTCAGGGTCTTAGGATCGAGCCCCGCATCAGGCTCTCTGCTCAGCAGGGAGCATGCTTCCCCCTCTCTCTGCCTGCCTGCCTCTCTGCCTACTTGTGATCTCTCTCTCTGTCAAATAAATAAAATCTTAAAAAAAAAAAAAAGCTGTGCGCGTGTGTGTGTGCACACATGCACTTGTGCGCGTGCGCCCAGACACACACACACACACACGAATATTACTCGGCCATGAAGAAGAATGAGATCTTTCCTTTTGTGACAGCATGGGTAGACCTACAGGGTATTAGGTAAAGTGAAATAAGTGAGACAAAGACAAATGCCATATGACTTTGCCTCTTTGTGGAATCTAAAAAACAAAGCTAAACCAAACAAATAAAAAAGCAACAACAGACCCATCATTACAGAAAACAAGTTGGTGATTGCCAGAGAGAATGGGAGAGTGAGGGGATGGGAAAAATGGGTGAAAAAAAAAAGACGACAGCATGAAATCCAAAGTAAAAACTGTACCCCTCCCCCCCTTCAATAAGGAGGAAACGGCCAGTTGCCTTCCTACGTTTTTGTACTTCTTCAGTGTTACTTCAGGTTTCAATGACAAATTTTCCTTTACTTTTTGAATCTGTTTTTTCTTGTTGGTCATTGTAGTTTTCTTTGCTCAAAGTGGATACCTCATTCAATGTGTGGTCTGGACATACTGTGAGACTTTCGTGAGTTCTGTTTTCTTCCCGGACAATGCACATGACATTTTAATATTCTTTTGGAAAGAATGAATCCTATAAAAGTGACATAATGTTTTCTTCTTCTTTTTTTTTTTTTTCATTCTTTGAGAAGATTTATGACAGTCCTTGGAAATTCTGACACCCCTGATGTCATTTGTGTGACAAGAGACCACCTCCCTAACCCTAGCTGTCAGGTTCTTATCATAGTACAAAGCCAAATCCAGGGGCGCCTGGGTGGCTCACTGAGGTTAAAACCTCTGCCTTTGGCTCAGGTCATGATCCCAGGTCCTGGGATCGAGCCCTGTATCGGGTTGTGTGCTCAGCAGGGAGCCTGCTTCCCCCTCTCTCTCTGCCTGCCTCTCTGCCTATTGGTGATCTCTGTCTGTCAAATAAATAAATAAAATCTTTAAAAAAAAAAAAAAGCCAAATCCATCAGTGTTTGGTCACTAATTTTTTTTAGGCCCATCTTTAGAAGGGGTCATGTTAGTGTCTTAAGGTTTAGAAAACATAGTCTAATGAGTAAGTTTTCCAAGTTAACCACGGTTATCTAGATGTTCTTTTCATCTTACACTATTACTATTTAGGAATTGTTAAAGGGTTTTGCAAAAGAAATTAACATCAGTAACATCCCCAAGACGTAATCTTTAACAATTTTCTTTCTAAAATAACCAAGTTGAGATAATCATGTAAAGTTGAACAAGTTTTCCTGAGTGCTCTGTGGAGAAGGAGAACTGTTGCTTTTTCCCAAGAGCGAACTGAAGCTGGGAGAGGCAGTGCAGTGAGGGACACAGCTGCGCCCCGACTGACAGTCTGTCCTGATCTGCACACCTAGGGCCTTCTCCCCGCCTCCGAGCAGTGGGGAAATGCCTCACTGGCTGGGAAGCCGGAGGACTCACGGAGTCCAACTGCTGTTCAGGGCTGCCTTGTTGGCTCTGTGAGGCATTTGCTAAGACATTGGCAAAGGACCCCAAGCAAGTTAACCTTGAGAGGGGAAAAAGTTATTTAGAAAATGACTACTGTGATAATAATAACAACTCGAAACAGTTGTTTCAGTGATGCCATTGGTCTCAGATGTCAGAGACTAGATGAGACATGGATGGCTCCCTCGACGCCGATGCTCGCAGTCTCACGGTCCTGGAGCTCAGCACCCGTGCACGCACACACACACTCACTCCCTCGTCCCTCCTCAGCACCTTTCATTCTTACACGGAAGTGAGTGGTCAGGTGGAAGAAGAATGTACATTTTCCTTTAAAATGCAATTAAGAATCGGATGAAACTCTGAAGCTCTACTATAAAATGGGCTTAATGTCAGAGTTTATAAAACATTCCACTTGTAGAATCACCCACTGGCTGGCTAGTGTAAGGTATTAAGGAAAAGAAGTAACAGGTTAATAGAAAAGAATGTTGTGTTGGAAAGTGTGAACTTACAAAGACTGAATAATATGTGTAAGTTGCACAGTAAATGCCCAGTCAGTATTGATGTGTCTTTTCCCAGCTCTTGGTGTAAAACAAAACGCTAGGTTTAGTAAACACCAGAGGAAGAAGCTGAGCCAGATGGTTAAGAGCTCGGGCTTCTAAATCAGACAGATCTTGGTTTAAATCCTGGTTTTGCCGCTCTCATGTGTTCTTGGGGAAGTGGCTTAGCCGCTTTGGACCTCGCTTACCTTCTTAGTAAAAATGGGATAATAATAGTATCTACCTGACAGTGTTGTTCTAGGGATTAGGTGATACACGTGAAATCAACGCTGTATCTATCACAGGATGTTAGTCGGTTTTAGCTGTTCAAAGCAGAAGTATTCATAGGATTGATGTAAGGGTTAAATCAATACGTAGAAACTGTCTAGCAGAGTACCCACTAGAAGTACGTGATCAGTAGCAGCCAGTAATGTTAGCATTCGTGCATTTCAAGGCAATAACAGAGCATTTAAAACTGAGGCATAGGACGCAGCTGTTGCACGTGTACGTCGCTGGGGCAGGCGTGAATGGAGATCCTTGAGGACTGCATGAGAGTTGCAGATGAGGTCGTAGCAGTCGCTACCGTACTCCTGCACAGCTCAGAAATAGCCGTAGCTTCTCAGTGAAAACTCCGGGTACTTTCCTGCTGCTCCCCTCGCAGTGGAGGGCGCGCGTGAGCTTGACTGGTCGTGCGTTTCTGTCCCGAACCCTGGCAGATGTTCATTGAGCAGAACAAGATGAAGAGACAGAGCCGTCTTCTGCTGCAGAGCTCCGCTCCTGACCGGCAGCTTCTGAAGGCTTTGGAGGAAAACGCAAAACTCGTCCAGCAGCTTGAAGAAGAGAGAATTCAGCATCAGAAAAAGGTAACGGATTTTCCGCCGGCGTCTTAAAACACACCCACAAACACGAGGGTCGCTCCGGTCGCTTTTGGCTCCCTGCTCGGCCTCAGTTAAGTCTTTTCCGCCCTTTGACTTTTTAGTGGAGAGTAACTGCTGAAGGAACCGTAACGTAGCGCCCACGTAAAATCTAGAGCGCACCGGCGCGGACGCACAGCGGTCTTGAACCTGTCCAAAGGCCTGAAAAAGCGAAGGAAGGAGACCGCAAGAGAGCTTGCGTAGCGCTCGTCATGCACGGTCGGGGCTCCTGGGAGCGGATTGTGTTTTCCGAGGCCGCCTACCCCGGCAGAGTACGTTAGTCTCCGAGAACTTACTGGAAGGCGCAAGTTGGATGCAAAGAGGGACGAAACGTCCACATTAGTAGTCATTGTTTGCTTAGAGGAAATTTCTCATTTTGTAAACTTGCACAAATATATGTGTTTAAAGACTTCCTAAGTGGTTACTTCTGTTTGTTTGTTTGAGTGGAGCTGTTCCAGCTGACACAGCCCACCTTTGTGCCAGGCAGAAAAGATAGTCATCGTGGTGGGTGGGAGGGAGGAGGCGGGAGGGGAGGGGAGGCAAAGAGCTGGAACAAAGGCTTTGAAGGTAAAGAAACCACTTAAGAGAAATCACATCAGTATTTATACTCCTTGCAGTGTACCTCATTTGTGAAGAAAGGGCTGTTAGCTGCTGTTTATTATCACCTGTCAAAGTCTCTTGAAGCAATAATACTGACATTTAGTCCTTGGAAGTTTCTGAAGTTTTTATGAAGTTGGTCCTGAGGCAGAGCTGATTTTCCCCCTCAGTAAGAAATGCTGGTGTGTGCGCAGAACCTCCAGAGGAGTGGATGGTGACAGCGGTGGCCCCTGGAGAGAGGACTAGGCAGTAGACTAGGGGGAGAGAACTAACTTCTTCCTTCCTTCCTCTTTCTTTTCCTTCCTTCCTTCCTTCCTTCCTTTTCTTCCCCTCCGTACCCCTCCCTCCCCTCCCTCCCCCTCCCTTTTCCCTTCCTTCATCCTCCCTTCCCTTCTCTTTTCTTTTTCTTTTCTTTTTTCTATTTTTCTTTCTCTCCTTATGCAAGAATTACCATTTAAAATAAAGAGAAAATAAAGGAATATTTTAAAAATTTAGCTCGTGCTAGAATTTTTCGGTTCTGAAAAGTCTTAGTTGTAGTTAAACCTGTTTAGTAAACAGCACGGGCCTAGGACCTACTGAATTGAACTGAAGTGTGGGACTTAGTCGTTGGATCTGTTCCATGTTGGGGTAGGAGGAGAGAGTAGCTGCTGCTGGAGATTAGCTAAAAGTCATGAATGGCTGCGATCAGTATTTCTAAGACTATTCTGCCATACTCTGCAGTTGCTCTGTGTAATCTTTCATGTGTGTGGTCCTAAATAGTTCTTACCTGTCTGGTAAGTTCCCCTGCGGATTCTCTGGCTGTCTTTTAAACACTGTGTTGTTTCCTTGGTGATAAAAGCAACATACGCTTCTTCTTATAAGCAAATATTTAAAATACAGTCCAAGTTAAAGAAGAAATTACCCAAGAATTCCATATTTTGGTACCTATCCAAACCTTACACAAATGGATAATTTTATGAATGTAGTTGAAATGGGATCATATCATACATCCTGTTCTACAGCCTGATTTGTTTTTAGTTGATAGCATATTGTTCCCTGTCAGCGTGTGGTGAGCTTTGTGATTTTATTTTATCTTAATTTTTAAAATAGATTTATCTAGAGAGAGAAAACACAGGTGGTGGGGGGGACAGAGGAAGAGAGAATCTCAAGCAGACTCCGTGCTGAGCATGAAGCCCTACACGGGGCTCAGTCTCCCAACCCTGAGATCTCGAACTGAGCTGAAAGCACGAGTCAAATTCTCAACCAACTATACCACCCAGGCATCCCAACTATGTGATTTTAAGTGGTTGTATGGTATTTCAGTTCATGAAGACAGGATGACTTCTTAAATCCATAATTTGGTGGATATTTAAGTTATTTTCAGTTATTTGCTGTTATGGACATTTAAGTTATTTTCAGTTATTTGCTGTTACTATTTCCTTTTTTTTTTAAGAGAAAAAGCATGTGAGTGGTATGGGGGAGGGACAGAGGAAGAGAGAGAGAGAGAGAGAGAATATTAAGCAGGCTTCATGCAGGGCTCTATCTCATGACCTTGAGATCATGACCTGAGCTGAAATCAAGAGTCATTGGATGTTTAACCAACTGAGCCACCCAGGTGCTCCCTTGCTATTTCTTTAAATCAAATTCTAAAAGTAGTATGGCTAAATCAAGCAGCCTTTTCATCTTTCTTTCCTTTTTTTTTTTTAAGGTTTTTGATACTTGTTACCAAATTCCTCCCCCCCAAGTGTTCTTTTCCAAGTTACCTGAATTTTCTCTTGAAAATGGGTACAAAGGTAATGTTCTTAGATATTATTGGGTACAAAGGTAATTCTTAGATATTATTTTACCTTTTTGACCCATATTTCAGTACCAAGTTATCTGGGACATTATGTCTCCAGTAAATTTATATTGGCTTAAATAACTGGTATTTTAAGTATCATCTATACTCCAAAATTTGCATGGTTTTTAAGATGAATGGTATCTCTTTGCTCTGAAATGCAAAGTAATGGGAAACTGATTTTCCCCCCTTTATTTTTCCTTGAGAAAGGAAAAGCTGCGAAAGTCTGTTTGTGAATTACAGGTGAAAGACTTAGAAGAGCAGCTCGAAAACACAGCCCTCCACAGAGAGATTCGCAGCCTCAAACAGCAGTTGGGGCTTCTGGAAGAAGACAAAAGAGAATTGGAGTTAAAATACCAGAGTTCGGAAGAGAAAGCCAGAGATTTAAAGCACTCCGGTAAAAGCGTCCGTGGGCTTCTGTGTCTGAATAGTTTGAGACTTCCCCGTGCCCAGCACAAAACCTGGCCCGTAGCTAGTCCAGAACACTCGCTGAATGCTGCACAGAAACACCAATATCCGTTTAGTTGAACGGCCACCGGACTCCAGGGAGTCGCAAGCCCTTGGACTTCTTGGTGGACTCAGAGCATGTGCGAGCTTTCCGTACAGAATGAGGAGATAAAGATACTGCTGATCTGGGAAGACCAACATTTCAGCATTTCTCAGGGCTTCAGATAGGATGGTTAGGAGTATTCGTTGAGGACTTATCTTGTTCATTTTAGGGAGTGGGTTCCCCCCCCCGCCTTTTCTTTTTTAGAAAGGGAGAGAGCATACTAGCGACTGGGGTTGGAAGGGAGGGGGAGAGGGAGAAAGAGAATCCCAGGCAGGCTCCACACCCAGTGCAGAGCCCGATGTGGGGCTCAGTCCCATGACTCTAAGATCATGACCTGAGCCAAAATCAAGTCTGATGCTTACCCTACTGAGCCACTCAGGCCACCCTTAGGGTACATTTTTAGAAAGAATTAAACTTTTAAGCTTCATACAACCCTTATCTGTGGTCTAAATTATACCTATGAACTAATACTTTCAGTGTCACACCTAACAATAAAATGGGCAACAATATGTATATTAAGTGGAAAAACTTTTAAAACACCAGGGGATATTTAAATCAAAGGATTTATTCATTCAGTTCCGGAAGGCTTGACAGCAAAGTGTGAATTGAATTACTACACAGGGATAAGTAATAAGTTTCTGTTGGAAGGGAGGTGATTTAAGGAGGCAGGTTGTTCCCTTTTATAACAGCTTCAGTATTCACTTGAGATATTTTTGGTTAATTTTATACTAGAATTTTGAAATCTGTATAGAAGAACTAAGTAGGTTTTTTTTTCCCCTTTAAAAAACATCCAGTGCTTTCTAATCCACAATGAAAATGAACTGCAATTTACTTTTAAAAAAATTGATCTAAAATTAAGAAGTATTCTCTTCTTTTTAGTGACTATCCAGGCAGCCTGTGGCCAAAGCCTTATTATTATTTTTTTTTTCCAATGGAGGAGACAGTTACTAGAGAAAACCTGAGATTCAGTTTTGAGTATGTTTTATTTAGGATCTGCTGTGTGTGTAGCCAGCCATAGCCTAGGGTACTATAAGAAATCTAGAAGAAAAGAAACCGTGCCTTTTGTCCTTGAGGAGCTCAAACTCTCTTTGAAGAGACAGACACATGCACATGAATAACGAGAGGACTCTTGGCTTTCAGAGAGCGTAGCCCACACTGCTTATTTCAGTGTTGAGAGTAGAGATAAACAGGCAGATCATTGGGGGCTCAGTCATTCATGGAGAGAGGAATGGCTGGGGACAGAGGGGCCCATTCCTGAGTGCACACAGTATTCGGTACCTAGAGCCTGTTGGGGCCCCTCGGAGAGGTATTCACATCTGCAGAATACATAGAAATCGAGCTCCTGGAACTCCAAACCTGCGTCTTGAACGGCACCCGGCATGGAACCTTTCACATCGCTGGTGCCAGTATACCTGCTTCATTTGGGACGTGAGTGAACTGGGTGGATAAATTCTGTTTCCAGAATGCTCCTTCAGAAGAGCGAGATGTTTCTGAAGCTACAGACATTTGAGAGTCTGAATCTGGTTAAAACTAAGAACTCCAGGATTTGCAATTTTTGAAGGAAATTAGGTGGAGGAGGAACGTATGTCATTAAAATTCATTGCTCTAAATGTCATCTTTAAAATTAATTCCTGGTCTATACCCTTTAAAAGTCAAGTATTCACAATTTCTCAGTGTTCTGAGTAGTACGTGCCATTGTTCACAAATATTTCTTCAACCAACTCAATCCCTACTTCCACCCATCCAGCCGTTGTCCCGAATTATTTTTCTTTTCCATAGCTGTGCATGCAGCACAGGACAGTAACCTTTCCTGTGACCCGTGTCAAACCTCTTCTTGCATTAGTGGTCGCAGCCTGGATGACGAAAAGGTTAAGACTTTTTGCAGTTTCATACTGAGATTTCTAACTTTGCCTTAATACCAAGAACTTGACTTTGAGAGAGGTTACTTTTTTTTTTTCGTTTATGTGTGTAAAAGGTGCTAAGTGGCTTGTTTCAGCTCCTTTCTGAATGCTTGTTCTCCATGCAGTTGATGAACTCCAGAAACGTGTGAACCAGTCTGAGAACGCGGTGCCTCCGCCTCCCCCACCTCCACCACCGCTCCCCCCTCCTCCCCCCAACCCTATCCGGTAAGTAAGTACGGGCGATGGGGTGCGGTCCTGGGGTGGGGGGGTGGGGTGGGCTGGGGGGCAGGGGTAGGGGGACTGCTCTGCGGGTCTTGTCATTCCTCCTCACAGGACCTGAAGCGTATGCTAGTGGGTAGTGGGATCCCTTCCTTAAATGCAGAACCAAAAACTGCCTTAGATTGCATCACTGGAGGGACGGGCGGTCAAAACTCTGAAACATACCAGCTGGTATTCCTCTCAGAAAATTTTCTTTTTTTAAAAAAAATTTTTTTATTTTTACTTTTTTAAGATTTTATTTGTTTATTTGAGAGAGAAAGATCACGAGAGAGCACAAGCAAGGAGGAGGGAGAGAAGCAGGTTCCCTGTTGAGCAGGGCATCCCCTGTAGGGCTCTATCCCAGGACCTGAGATCATGACCTGAGCCAAAGGCAGCCGCTCAGCTGACTGAGGCGCCACCCAGGCGCCCCTCTCAGAAAATTTCCTAAAGGCGGATGAATCACTCCCTTCTTGTAATCTATAAAGAAAGGACCCTAAGACACCCCGGGCAGAAACACTCCTGGGGCCCCCGACTTGCTCTGCTCCATGGAGATGTTTATATTGCACGTGGATGTTCCAAATCCAGGAGCTGGATATGGAGTTTGGAAGTTTGATACTGGGGCGCCTGGGTGGGTTAAGTGGGTTAAGCCTCTGCCTTCCGGTTGGGTCATGATCTCAGGGTCCTGGGATAGAGCCCCGCATGGGGCGGTGGTGGGGGGTGGTGTCTCTGCTCAGCAGGGAGCCTGCTTCCTCCTCTCTCTCTGCCTGCCTCTCTGCTTACTTGTGATCTCTGTCAAATAAATAAATAAAATCTTTAAAAAAAGAAGTTTGATACTTCAGTGTTAAGATTTCAGCCCCTGATGTTAGGATTTCCTTCAACTGGAAGATCAAGGAATTTTGAGCTCTCCCAGAATGTTGTTTTTTGTTTTTTGTTTTTTTTAAATCTTTTTCTTGCCTTAATTTGAATTTGAAAAGCTCTGGTTTGTTCATTTACCTTAAAAATAAAAGTACTAAAGGAAACAAAAACTTATCAGGACTAATTATTACACACTAGTAATTAAACTCAGAGTGCTAATTATGTTTTGTCCCTAACCTCATATTTAAACCTTTATTAATGCCAAGAGAAGAACCTTCCATAAGAAGAAGAAGAAATTACGTTTACATTCTTGTGACAGGGAATCACATATGCAGACAGGAATTCACTTTTTCTGAAGCCTGAGGTGACTGGGTGGTATTGAGTGCCTGAAGTAAGCACGGTCCACCCCAGGAAACCTAGGGGCATGTTTTGCCTCCCTTGTGGTTCTCCTTCCTCCCTCCAGAGTTAACATAAGACACAACCTGCTTGCCTTGGTGACGGCTTCCCTCTTCATATCATGATGTTAGCTGCTTCTGTATAATTTGTTTTTGAACAAAGGGAATTTAAAATTTTGCTAGGTTTTTTCTACCTTTCATTAACTCATGTGATTTGTTTAATCCTTTCACACAGAGGCTGTTTTTTCCTACTTTGCACCTTTGCAAAGTCTGTCCGTGTTAATACAATGTGTAGTATGTTCCTCCCACACAATGATGAAAATGGGACTTTGCCTTTTAAAAAGATTCTCATTAGGTTTTCTTACTGAGGGTATGACATAATCTGCTTTGAGCCATTTAAGTAGTCAAGGCAAAATAATTTTTACATGTGATTGATCCAAGAGTCCATTGAAAAAATTTCGGGTATTTTAAATTCTTTCTGTCCTGGGTAGCTAAAATCTGTTGGAGATATTCTGAATTTGACATTTAAAAATAGGAAATTCATCACTTTGATCTTCTAAGGTGTAGAATTTTGAGCTGATAAGAAAGATCATTTCTGGGGCGCCTGGGTGGCTCTGTGGGTTAAGCCTCTGCCTTCGGCTTGGGTCATGATCTCAGGGTCCTGGGATCGAGCTCTGCATTGGGCTCTCTGCTCAGCGGGGAGCCTGCTTCCCCCTCTCTCTCTGCCTACTTGTGATTTCCCTCTCTCTGTCAAATAAAAAAATAAAAGAAAAGAAAAAGAAAGGTCACTTCTGTCTATGAGGAGGGAGAACTATAAAAAAAACGCGATTATAGTGTTGCTTTTGTCTTTAATTTTTAGTCTCACAAATCTGGAAGCCCTTGGTATTAAAATTAAAGTATAACCTAAACAGACTATTTTCCCAAAGAGCACTTTACAGTTTTACTGAGAAATAAATACAGGGTTCAGATTATGTATGTCTAAAGCATGAACTCTTTCATAAGGGCCCTTCGAAGAAAGTTTTCATTGAATAACATGAGTGATTTTTATTTTAAGGTGAATTTAAGTAGTATAAGATGTAATTTCTCAGAGTTTTCTTTGTTGGTTTTCTTTTTTTTGGCAAGGAGTACTTTCTTGTCAAAGAACTATATTTGCACGTATATGGAGTTTCAGTGGACTTTGAATCCACTAATCAAGGTTTTCTAACTTTGGTCCTGAGCCACATTTGTTTTATACCCTGACAGAGTCCTTGGATAGAATGAAAGCAGAGATTGGGGGAGAGGGCAGTCTAGGGCCTTGAGGAAGAAGGCAGCCCGTGGTCGTGTTGTACCAGCAGTAGTGAACACGGAGAGGTCCTGGGCAGGTGTGGGTCAAGGGGGAGGGGGAGTGTATTGGTTAATTAGTCAGCATTCTCCAGAGAAACGGAACAGCAAGGGTGTGTGTCTGTACATGTATACATACATGTGTATACATCATGTCCGTTCACATACAAGGTTTATTCGAAGGGATTAGTTCGTATGATTATGGGCCGTGGCAAATTACAGGGGGAGTCGAAAAGCTGGAGCCCACGGAGAGCCTGTGGTGTGGTCTCAGTTAGGTCAGCAGGCTCCAGACCAGGAAGAGGCGGTGTTTCAGGTCTGGAAGCAGGGAAAAGCAGATGTCCTCATTTCAGGGTAGTCAGGCAGAGGAATTCTGTTTTATTTGGGGAAGGGTCATCCTTTTGTTTTATTCAGGCCTTCCACTGATTGTGTGAGGCCCACCCACATGAGAAAGTAGTCTGTATTCCTCAGGCTACCAAAGGTTAATCTTTTTCCTAGCGGGGGGAGAGCCCTCTCCAAGCCCCACTGAACGTTAGCTTGTAGACACTGAAGAGTTCTGCCTTCAGTGACTGAATGGGGAACATGGGCAGAGTTTGCATGATTTCATTTCTTCCAACTTCTGGAATAAAATGTGCTTGTTGGTAAGTTCTAGAAACCTCCCAGGGTAGAGCATAGTGCTTGCTTTCTCCTGTGCTTTGTGAGAGATTGTTCAGTGTGTTCGGGAATTTTAAGAAAAGGCAGTTAGAGAGGGGATTAATCATTGATCTCAAGGCAGAAGTAAGAAATTTTAAAAAATCTAAAAATTACGGTGATTAAGAAACACTGAGTTGTTCCGTCCTCTGCCAGGTATTGCTGTGTGTGTCCAGGTGCCGCTTTTCTGGAGGCAGCATTATGCCTTCCCAGCGTGGCTTCCTCAGGACTGTACTTTGTCAAATCCACTTTACCACACTGAGAATATTTATAGTGAACACTTATAATAGAGTTCCAGAATTCTTGGTTCATTTGGGTTTTTTGTACACACACTTCTGTACAGTTTAAAAGTAATACAAAGTGAACATCAGGTGTTCACCCTCCGAATCAAGAAGCAGAAAAATACTGGTAGCAAGAAAAAATTTTTCTTCCGTATATATCTCTAAACTCCTATAAATATGCATATGGTTTTTTTTCTAACTATATAGTTGGAATTTTTCTGTATTCATTTGGGTCTTGTTCTTTTTACTCCATGTTACTTTGTAAGATTCTCGCGTGTTCTGTTGTGTGGCTCAAGTTCATCCCACGAATATGAATATATATGAATTCCCACGAATATGGATGAACTTGAGCTACACAACAGAACACGCGAGAATCTTACATAATTGGGATACATAATATGGATACATAATGCATTTTATAAATGGATTTTGTGTGTTTATCCATTATGGCCCTTATACCTTTGAGTTATTACCAGTTCAGGGAAGTGCTGGAAATTCTACATGAAGATTCTGGTAAATGAATCCTGGTGCACAAGGGCTTGGTTTCTGTAAGACGGTCAGAGGTGGAATCCCTGGCTCCTAGGATCAGTGTGTCTTCTGCTCCGCTGGATAATGCCCAGCGCGTTTTCCAGAGTTTCCCACCATCGGTCCATCCGCCATCTTCAGTCTGAAGTCATCCACTGTCTTCCTCTTACTCCACAGACCTACCGGCACATGATAATACCAGACTAGAAATTTCTTGCCTGTTTGATAACTGTGTAGTAGTATATCAGTGTGGGTTTCATTTGTGTTTTCCTAGTAGCTAGTGAAGTCAAGGGTTTTTTTTTTTTTTTGGTATGGGTTTTGGAGATTTGGGTATCTCTTTTATGGTGTTTCAAAGCTTTTGTCCATTTTCCTGTTGCATTATATGCTTTTTCTTATTGATCTGTAGAATTTCCTTTTTTTTTGTTTTTTTTTGTTTTTTTTGGAAAAAATTTTGAAGTTTTTTTCTAGTTAAATAATCTCTACACCCATCATAGGACTCAAACTCATGACTTTGACATGAAGAGTCACGTGGTCCTCTGACTGAGTCAGCCAGGAGCCCTTTCTTTTTATTCTTTATGGTGTCTTTTAACACATGGAGGTCATTTAATGTTAAATTTATCATGATTTGCCTTTTATACAGATTTTATAAATATAGACCAGAGAGACTATGGTCTAAATGTATTTTGTCCCTTAGGTATCTGCTCTGTGTCACTCAGATTCAGATGTCTTTATGCCCATGTTTCACAGATAAATATTTACTGAAAATATCCACTAATTCTTTGATTCTTCCCTCTCCCTCAAACGTATTACATAGATAGCTCTTTCTGAATTGTAGGTATGCATATTGACTTTTTTTTCTGTTTTATTTTGCACAGTATTGGTCATGATAGCGGCTCCCTTCTTAGAGTAATGAGTTCGGTTCCACGCAGAAAGGGATGAGAAATCTCTCTCTTCCTTAAAGTGCTGAAAATTTAATAATTTATTAAAAATGGAAAGTAGACTCCTAAGTTCTAGCTATCCATTTATGCACCTAGAAAAGAATTGGATTTTTACTGATTATTTTGAAGCAGTACATGTTATTCCTTGAATTTTCCAGCACCCAGTAATCTCCTTTCTTTCTCTTTCTTTCTCCCAAAGATCCCTCATGTCCATGATCCGGAAGCGATCCCATCCCAGCGGCAGTGGTGCTAAGAAGGAAAAGGCAGCTCAACCAGAAACAAGTAATTCTCATCCACTTTGGTTTTACTCTCAGTGGTTTCAGCACAGGTTTTCAACAACACACAGTTTTTGAGTTCTTTGACTGTGAACGGATTGGGGAGAAATGTGAACCTAGCAGCTGATAAGAAACAAGAAAAGCGTCCCTGCCTTTGAGCTGCTCCTGGTCTCGAGCAGGTCACCTATAAGGTGCAGTCTGCTGGGGTGTGTCTGCTTTCCAGGATGAGGCTACAGGAGGAGGTATAAGGGAACGAGAGGGAGTGATTGTAGGTGAGGGCTTGGGGAAAGACTTTTTAGAGTTCATAGCAAGTGAACTGAGATCAAGCCCCTGCTGTGTACGGACCTTGTGCTGTGTGCTGGAGACAGAAGACATAGAGTGACACTGAGTGGGGGAGCAGTAAGCAAGGACGATTTCCTGGGGGAAACTCTTCTAGGAGAGTATGGAGGTGGGGATGCCGGTTATCAGGAAGCAGTGCTTAAGCTGAGTAGGTTAGATTTAGGAAGTCAGGATGGGGGCATTTAGAATAAAAGTAGTTCCCAAAGGGGGGGAACCAAATCAAAGTGGGGATGGAGCTTGGCGTATTAGGAAACTGAACAAAGGTTGGTATTTACTAGAACATGGGGTACAATAGAAGGAAGTCTGAGCCAGACTTAGGATGTGGTCAAGATTTTTGAATTATATGGTAAGGCCAGGAGAAGTTTAAGTAGGGGTGTGGCATGGTGAGATTGGTCTTTTTAAAGAAATCACGCTGTTTGCAGCGAGAGGACAGAGAGCAGACTGCGGAGGCATGAGAGGGGATGAGCCGAGGTTGTCATTCAGAGGCACGTGGCTCAGACGAGGGTGGTAGCAGCGGAGACAGAAAGAAGTGGGTAAGTCTAGGAACAGCTCTGGGAGGGGCAGTTCACAGGAGTGGGACTGGCTGGAGAGGGGAGAAGTTGAGGATGACGTGATGACGTGATGATGGGAGTGGAGGGAGGAGGGCTTTCCCCTTGAGCAGAGCATTGGCTGCCAGGAGCTGCGCTGGCTCCCGGAGCTTCAGGCTGACCAGTAGAACCCACATTAAACTCAGCACCTGCTAGTTACAAAGCATGGCAGATTTGCCTGGGTCCAGCCCAGTCTCGTGCAGACTTCTTGGCCCCCTTTTCCTGCCCCAGGTTCATTGATCCGGTCCAGCCACTTTCCTACCATTGGCAGGCTGACGTCCTCAGATTGTTGTCCCGTGTCCTGTGACATTGCTGTCTTGTGTCATGTGACATTGCTGTGTTCTCACTGCATCAGAAGAGTTCAAACCCTGTAGGCTGCTTAGCCTCATTTCTGTACGTTGGCTCTACCTTATGGCTGGACCGTGACCTCGAAGCCCCCCTCTGCACTTGCTCTGGGTTTCCTCGTTCCAGAATTGCTCTGCTGCCTTCCTCTGGTCAGTGCTTTCTGGGGCAGGAGGCTCTAATTACACGTCTCCTGTGTAGGCTCCAGGCTCTGCCGTCAATGTTAGCTCCTTAGTATGGGCCCATTGCTCTGTGTGACTGTAGCATTTTACTTCAGGCTTTATGATGTCCCACCCCACAGCCCCTGCTGTGGTGTTTGGGGGTTATTTCCACATCTGTACCCCTGCACTGATTGCAAACTCTTTGAGGCCTTACTCCTGCCTGCTGGTCTCCCACAGCTTGTATGGACCTTCAGTGAATTCAAGTTTAGACCTACGCCTAGCCTTGCTACCCAGAACCCCGCAGCACCACTACAGAGGAAAGCTAGTTGATTTCATCTATGTATGTCGACTTTTGGTGCCTGCCTCCTACAAAGCTTTGGAACCTAGTTCTCTCCTAGCACTCCTGAAAGGGACATTCTGCTTGCCACAGGCATCACAGGATTCAGAAGTCTTGTCTTTGGTGATTGCAGGGTAGCCCTGCTGTGTTACTGACTGTAAGCCTTCCTGACACTCTGATTAAACTTAAAATTTTGTTTCAATCGTGTTTGGGGGGCAATTGGTAAGACTTAGAGGGTCAGGAGGGCAGTCAGCATAAAATGCTTTCCCCTTCTAAATAAATGACATTATTGGCTTGTCATCCTCGACAGCACCCTTAAGTTTAAAAAAAAAAAAGTATTCTAAGCTTACTAACCCCAGTGTTAGAAACCGTATAGTTTTTCTTATGAAAGTGATGTTTCATTTACAATTCCTGACGTGGGGCAGTGTTCTGTCCCTCATTCCTGAGCTATTGGGTTGTCACCTGGGATAATTTAAGTTGAGTGACTGGTACAGAAGTCACTCATGGGATTTTTTTTTTTTTAAAGATTTTATTTATTTATTTGATAGACAGAGACCAGAAGTAGGCAGAGAGGCAGGCAGAGAGAGAGAGAGGAAGGGGAGCAGGCTTGCTGCTGAGCAGAGAGCCCGATGCGGGGCTCGATCCCAGGACCCTGGGATCATGACCTGAGCCGAAGGCAGAGGCTTAACCCACTGAGCCACCCAGGCGCCCCTCACTCATGGGATTTTAAACTGAAGCCACTCTAAACTATACCGCCTGAAATGGTACGGACCACAGACACCTGTGGTTGCAGCCTCTCTCTGTCTGGCAGGGTCGTTACTTACAGTGTCTCATTAACACTTCGCACTAGACAAAGTTGTTGAATGAATAAATCAACAATGATCAAATGCATGATGAAGGAAGGCAGAGAGCATCAAACTTTGGGGTCGTCTCTGATGCTTTAGAGCTTACATTTCTAAGCAGGGATCGGTCTTGCTGTCACAGTGTTCTCTTTTGTTAGCATCTTACGATGGCTTTCACTGGCCAGTTGGTATTCTTCTCAGAGCTGATGAATGAAAAAACTTTTATTGCTAGGGTATGGCTCTTAACTTTTTATTTTCCTTTTAAGATTTTACTTATTTATTTCACAGAGAGACAGCGAGAGAGGGGAAACAAGCAAGGGGAGTGGGAGAGGGAGAAGCAAGCTTCTTGCTAAGCAGGGAGGATGTGGGGCTTGATCCCAGGACCCTGGGATCATGACTTGACCCAAAGGCAGAGGCTTAACAACTGAGCCACCCAGGTGCCCCTAGGGTATGGGCCTTAAAAAGCCTAATTGTAAGGGAAGGTCTGTGGGTTATTTTAGAAGTAGCTTTAAGGTCTAAATGTAAGAAATAATTAATAAACTTTGAATTAATAACTGTAATTTCGATAAGCGTGCATTTATTGGACAAGTTCCGAGATTTTAAAGGTATGCTTTCTGTTTATCGAATATTTAGGCCGTTAATATTGACATTTTCTTACCTCAGTTTGCTCACCTGCTGAGTGGGTATAAACATAATTCCTTTTTCATAGGGTGCTTGTGAGAATTAATGAGTCTCCTAACATGTAAAGTGTTTAGAGAAGTACCCAGCACATTGAAAATACTCAAAATGTTAGCTTAAAAAAATAACAACAAAAAAAGACGGGGTTCCAACCGCCCTTTGAGGGGCAGAAGTCCTCGTTCGGCAGACTCTTGGGGTCATTGCGGCTAAGGAAATATCCTTAACTTTATGACCTTACGTCAAATTCAGACTTACTCAACCATGATGTGTTCTTTAGAAATTTTGTACATCAAGGTGGCATAAGATTCTTTTTAGATGCCTTTTTAAAAATGTTAATAAGAGAGGACAGTAATCCCATGGAATTTAGAAATTCATTTTCATTTCCCTTAAGTAATAACAAAAGGTTTTATTGAGCAACAAGGTGATGGTTTTGTCTGTGGGTCTTTTCTTTGAGGAATGAACTTATTTTTCAAGTAGGTCTTAAAATTTAAGCCTCAATTAATTACATGTAGCTTTCTGATCTAAGACTGACCTTGAAGCACTAACTCAAAGAACATTTGGTTTGATTTTCCTGTGGCAGTTCAGTGACATTAGACCTGTTGTCTTCATTTGTCCCTTTTCTTTAATCCCCAGTATCCTGCATATTTCCATTGTCCTTCTGATTACATGCTTTTGTGAGACAATTACCAGCTGTGTGATCGCAGAAAGAATTACAAAACATACCATGAGCTCTCTGTACGTGATTCTTGCAGATTTATTAGAATTGCTTAATAGTTTAGAAGTTCATATAGATTGCTTTTTGCTAGTTCAAAAGCAGGGTTGGTGAGAGAGAAAGCTTGTGTAGCTAACCTAGTGTTGCCCTGGTATTGTGCCTGCGCAGGGAATCTGATAAGAGTGATTTTTCCTTAAGACCAATTAAGCCTTTACATTTGAAAAAGACTAAGAAATTAAAGCCTGGTTTATAATCTGTACACAATACAGATAGTGGCACTTCTCTGAATTATCACTATGATTCTGGCAAGCAAAAATAAGAAACTACTTTAAATTCCTGTTATGTTAGATGCTGCAGCAAATTTGAATGGTGTCGACCATAATTCTCCATCTGTCTGCCTTAATTAGTTTTTGTATGGTGCATTTAATTGGGTTCCAGTCCTTCCTTACAGAGCGCTAATCTGTTTGTCGGCTGTGTTCCTGTTGCCATGCAGCTCTTCTCAAGTCTCACGCAAAATGGCAGGCTTTCTGAAAAATCACATGTCTTTTTTTAGGATTTAAAAAACAATTTTTTTTTCCTCAGGAATAAACTGCGTACCCTTACCAGGTACTTGCATGGCAGATCTGGGCTTTATGTCCCCTGCTTGGAATAGGGTCAGCACACACACCCTGTTGTTCAGAATAGGTATTCGGATACTGAATGAGTGAGTGAGTGAGTGAACGAACGAATGAATGAATTTCTCTCTATAGTAATTTTCTCATCTGTCCCCTTGTTGATGCTTGGGAGCCATCTGCAGAAGCTGCCCGAGAAAATGCTGCTTAAGGGCACAGAGTCGATCAGCCCACAGTTTTTGCTGTCTTTCATTTACTGGTGGGTGAGTTCTGACTTCGGTGCCATGTTTCCCACGTTGCCCAGCAAAAGATGCTTTCTTGCCATCTGGATCTGAAAAACGCTGTTTGGGTTTGGGTATGGAGAACTTTTCATTCCCCTCATATCAGTGGCCCGCGAAGATGACAGGGCCCTAACTGAAGTTAGGACCCTGTCGGAAGACTTGGGTTGTAGGATGCGTGTGGTGGTGGTGGTCCCATCAGTGTGGTGCTGCCTAGGTGAGGATGGTGGAACCTTCTGGATTCTTCTAGTTGCTCCCCTGGGTATAATGAAATAGCAGTAGCTACTCAGTCAGTGTTAGCGTGAAGTCCACATGGCAGAAAAAGAAGCCACAGTGTAGCCCTTATTAGTGCAAAGCCCGACACTCCCATCCATTGCCTTGGGGATGTTGTTGTGATGGCTTCCATTTAGAAGCTGTCCTTTTGGGAGTTAGCTGTTTCTGCTCAAATAGCAAAAATATTAACAACCACATAAAGCCAAAAGTTTAACAAGTCAGTCAGCGGGTAGGGTACTTGCTGAGTGCCTACTGTACGCCCCGCATTGTAGAATGTGCTACACAGCCTCAGAGGAAGGTCTTCGTAACGTACTTAAATATATTGGTTGCAGTGAATGAGACAGATGTAAATACGAGATCTAGAATGGCAATGATGGTGATACATGTTCCAGAAATGACTGCTTTTGGCCAAGCTATTGTGCAACAGACAGATTTCATTATTCTGATCAATAGCTTTAAGCCCACCTCAGCTACATTCATCTAATTGATGTATATTTTAACAGCTTTATTGTTTTTGCAGCAAAATAATGCAAAGTTTAAACAATAGATGAATTTTTAAAATCAAATTTAATTACTTAATTGCAATCATTTCTAGGTGTATGTTTTCTTTCAACATTGACAATTTTAAAAGACTTGAAAAAGGTTTGCTTAAATGTTTCCTTCCATTGTGATTCCTAAACAAAAGATGGCAATTTAAAAATAGATTTCACCTATCTGCTGTTCATCTTCTGACTGTGGGTTTCTTCCAACAAGTTAACGGATCTCTTTTATCTTTTATTTCCAAATGGCTTTTTAATAGTTATTCCTTCTTTGGGCTGATTTCTTTGACAGAGGATGTTTTAAGTTATAAAAACATCTCTGAGGCAAAAATCAAATGATTATTTGTGGTTAGATAGAAAGCTGCAGAAGTTCAGGTCTGTCATTATGCTGACATGGAACCGAATCCACTTGAATTTTAACAGAGATGAACGAGTATGGATTTCTAGGCTACAAATTAGGCCTTAAATTTTGCAACTCTAATTTTTATTTATTTTTATTTTTATTTTTATTTTTATTTTAAGTGGAGCCTAACATGGAGCTTGAACTCGGGACCCTGAGATCAAAACCTGAGCTGCGATCAAGAGTAGGACACTTAACTGACTGAGCCACCCAGGGGCCCCTGTAACTCTAATTTGTTTTAAAAAACAGGTCTTTTATTGAGAGATTCTTTTAATTAAAAAAAAAAAAAAGTGTGGCTACCTGGTAGCTGTTAACCTCAGTAAATTGTTTTGCGTTGTCTTGTGACTGAGAAGCAGTTGTGCATAATTACAAAGTGCATCGGAATAGAAAGTATCTGTTTTCTTGTAACATAAGATGATTTCTGTGTGTGTTCTTTGACAGCTGAAGAAGTCACGGATCTGAAGAGGCAAGCAGTTGAGGAGATGATGGATAGAATTAAAAAGGGAGTTCATCTTAGACCTGTGAATCAGACAGCTAGACCGAAGGCAAAGGTATGGAATGACTTAATGTTCCCCTTCCCGTGATGCTTCCTTTTTTCAAGAATAGAAGTTTGAAATTGGATGAAAGCGACATCAGGGTGACTGAAATCTTAGGATAAGGCTAATGTGTCATAAAAGGCTCTCCTCTCATACAAGCGTGTCTCAGGATTCCTGTTTGAGCCACAGTTAACCTAAATCCCTATAGAAAGTCAGATTGTTGGAGATGCTGTCCTCTGCTTGATGCGAACCTCTACACCCAACAAATGATGATCATGCACTTTCTTTTCTTTAATTCCTTTTGTGCAATTCAACAAGTATCGATTGAGTATCTCCTGTGTGCCTGGTACTGTTTCAGAACCTGGGGATAAAGCAGGACACAAAAGAGACAAAAATCCTAGCCCTTCCGGAGGCTTCTGTTTCCGTGTGATGGGGAGAGGGGCCAGGTAGACAGGGGGCATAGCACGATAGCGTCAGGACGGACTAAAGACAGCTTTGGAAAAATAGTGAGGTTTGTATGATTCCATTATTTTACAAACCTGGTCCAGGCCACTGTAAGGAGAACGTTTTGTGTATCTGTATCCTCAGCTGCCTTCTGAACTAGACCACGGGGAGCACTGAGATCTGGTGCCTGGAGCCAGCTCAGTACCTCTCCCTTCTCTCATGGGTGCGTCCCATTGAAATAGACCAACAGTAGGATTTTGATATTTTGTGTCTTGAAAAATAATTTGTTTATTTGTTTTCTCCTTGTAATAAAGCATCAACTGATGGTTTATTACCATCTGTTCTACTTTCTTCTTCTAAACCAAACTTAAAGGTTCATTCTTACTCTCATGGATGCTCCTCTTCCGCTGCTTCAGTGACCCCAAGGATCATGACTGTTGAGTACAAATTCTGCTGGACTTTAAAAAGTTGTCACTTGATCACCGGCCAGCGAGGTGGCCGGGCAGGGCAGGAGCTGTCGTGGTGGGAGGGCTGTCTATGGAAAGAGGGAAGAGGGAAAGAATACCCAGCTGTAAGCAGTGGGTTGACAAGAGTGTGAAATGGAAGCTTTCGCAGCCGCTGGAGTGCTGGTCTGCTAGTGCTCTGAGCAGTTTCCCAGGCGAGGGATGGAGCGTCCGCAGTCTGGCCGGTAGGCTGGGCGCCAGGGTTGGGCGCCTGAAGCTCGCTGCTGCGGGAGCTGGGGCTGGACGCTACCCGCTTCCCGCTCGCCAGGCTCCTCTCTCCCCGGACTGGGCGGAGCGCTGGCCCTCTCCCGCTCACGGGGTTGTCGTCGGGCTCCAGTGGATGATGGTGTAAGATTTTCACATCACAACGGTTTCAGAACAAATCAGCCAAACCAAACAGACTAGAGAAAAACGCAATGTCATGAAGAAGCCAAAATTAGTTTAGAGAGAAAAGTGTTGAAAGCTTGTTGAATCCTAAGCGATCAGTGTTCTGTATGTACTTTGCTTTTCAGAGGATCGCTTTGTCCTCCCTCTTCTTGCCCTGAGTCTTCCAACAGTTAATCGTTATATAATGTCAGTGCAGAGCTGGGGAGCAGCCGAACAAGGAGAGTGGACGCCTGGGTGTTCCGCGGGTAATCGTCCAGCCACGTAGCTGTAGTGCTGAATGACGCAGTCAGTCACCTTTGAGCAAGCGGCCACTGCATGCGCTAGACTCCCCACCAAGGTCACGGGCCGAGCGCTCGCCGGCCGGGCTACAGGAGGTGCTGCAGTCTGAGGCGGTGGAGTGGCATGGGCACTGAGTGGCCTGGAGCCAGGGCGCTTGCCCAGACATCAGTCACCGCTTGTCCCCCGAGCAGCGCACCTGCAGAAGTCAGGCCTCCCTGGAGAACACTCGTTTAACTGCATACTTTCTAAATTCTTTGATGTCGTCGTTGATACTGTTGCGGTTACGATTAGTGTCTTGGAGCTTTGGGCTGGCACCTGTGACTGGCGCTCTTGGCACGCGTGTTTCCCAGAAAGCGTAGCCTGTGAAAGTGGAATGTTTTCATCCAATTTGTACATAAGCAGCAAACCTCTCTCCCTCTCCCTGTCCCTATCCCTCTCCTGCCCCCTCTCGCCCTCTTTCACTGTCCATTTAAAAAAAAAAATTGGAACGGGATCTTCCCCTTATATTAGCTCTTGGAAGGAAAGGGTGATAGGTCATTATTAATCCCTTCCCATCTCTCCCTGACCGAGAAATGACCTTTACCTCTTTCCCCAGAATGAGAGGCCAGGGAGTTCCCTGCATGTCCTCTCTTCTCTGTCCTTGTGAAAGGAGGTGGTACGGGAGAGATCAGAGGTCTTCTTTTGAGGACCTCCTGCTAGATTTTCCCTCCACGAAGGGAGTCGAGGGAACCACAGAGACTTTTAGGTATCGTGGGGTAGGCGAATGTTCCCCAGAATTTCATTTCAAGTTATTTTGTTCATGGCGTAGCCAGAAGCCAGATTCCAACCGGGCTTGTCATCAAGACTCCAATACAGCCCTTCTCAAGGTGCACCTTTCCTCCTAAGTAAGACGGAGGGATTGGACTGTGCGCCCTCCATGGCCTCTCTTATTGCTTCGGTGGCCAGTGATGCTAACATTCTCCTGTGAAGCCAGGTTCTTTGCTGATCCCTGCTCCTGACTCAGTGCTGTTATGAAATTCCTGCAACCAGACGTGCCATCCCCTGTCAGCCGGCATCCGCCTGGAGCTAGCGGAGCCGAGAGAGGTTTCTGCCCTGTCGCTTGCCGCCTGCCCTGCGCTGCTGCCTTCCCTCCCGCTCCTCGCTCACGGGTGCCCGTTCGGCAATGCCAATGGAGAGCCGCTTATTGTAAAAAGTGAATAATTTGAAATAGAATCCTTGAGATCTGGTGTTTCCCAGACCTTTTCTCTGTATGATGATAACAAGAAGTAACAAAATGGCATTCAGAAGATGTGGGCTTGAGTCCTCTTGCTTCGACTGCCTCTCCTAATTTTCTGTTTCACTGCCCCTTGTGAGCACTAACCCGTCTAATCTTTTTTCCTAACCGTAAGACATAGACCTAATTAAAAAAAAATAGTCAATAGAAGTTGCCAATACTTTGCCATGTAAAAATCTCTGTTTAGTATTTTTAAACCAAATCATTAATTGTCCTTTCTTTTTAAAATTGTAGCCAGACTCTTCAAAAGGCTCCGAGAGTGCCGTGAACGAGCTCAAAGGCATACTGGTAAGAATGGATCTGGGTTTTATTCTTTAGTTTATGGGAAACTGAGAAGAGAATATTTTTAAAATCTATTTATACAAATAATTGGTTTTGATATGTTTTATTTTTGTTCACAATAATCCTCAGTTCTTATGACAGTTCTCTTGATCGTGCTGTGGACTGCTCCATTGGATATGTTAATCTGTGTCATGCATCCATACCCTGCTGTTTCTATTCTAGAAGAATGGTTACGCTTTCACCAGAATCATTATTTCCTGTTCTTGCCCTCCAGTCCTTGCCTTCAGCCTCAAGACAAAGTGACCAGATCGGAGGATCAGGGCGTGCTTGGTCATAATGGAAACACAGTAGAGTCTTTTACATGGACGGTGCTTGATTTGGGGGCGCGGAAGTGGAACTGTTGGTGCCAAAATGTCGACCTGAGCTCCTACCCAAATACGTTAGTGTCAGGGATCAGGGTCACTGTCTGCTCTTCCTCACAGTTTAAAAAATTACGTGATGATAAGTTGGAGAATAAGATAAAGGTCTCTATCTTTATGTCCTGATTTCATTTTCTTTTTTCTTTTTTTTTCCAAGATTTATTTATTTATTAGAGAGAGAGAGAGCACGTGCACACGCATGAGCGTGCACAAGTATGCGGGGAGGGGTGGGGAGGAGCCGAGGGAGAAAGAGAATGTCAGGCAGGCTCCCTGCGGAGCCCAGAGTGCAAGGTGGGGCTCCATCTCACGACCCTGAGATCCCCACCGGAGCCAAAACTAAGTCAGATGCTCAACCGACTGCGTCATCCAGGCACCCCATTACTCATTTCATTCTCTAAAGGCAACTCCTATCCATTGGGGAACAGGCCTAATGCCCTTCTCCAGCTGTTTTTTTTTCTTTTCAAACTATGAGCTTTTGCCCACAATATACTGCCCTGTCCAACAGTTGCCGCCTCACTTAGTGACACCTCACTGAGAAAATGTCTCAGGCACTAAGAGCTCTGTTCTCAGATCCTGTTACAGTCCCAACACCACTTGTTACGCACAGTCAATGACCTTGGGGCGGAGGTCGAGAACTAATACTCCCATGTTTGCTGTTATGGTGCTGATTATGCATTGCATGTAGACATGCGCATAATTGTGGCAAACAAAATTATTTTCATCAAGCATGAAACAGCAGACTGAACTCAGAATGGCTTAATTAGTTTGCTTTAGGTTTAGATGAGTGGAAGTAGTCCTAGAGAGTGCTATAGCCTGGCTGGCAGTGGTGGTCCACCTACGGAATAAAGGATGACAACCATTGGAAAAGTATGTGGTTATTATCTAATGGATTCTTTGAAGAGAAAACCTGGTTATCCAGTGAGAACTCTCTATGCTGGGCTCTTTCGTTGTCTGTACATCAGGGTGCTAATTCCTCTTCATGAAGCTCCCCCCAGAGTAGGATTCTGATCATGAGCGAAAAGGTGCGCTGAGGTTGACTATTTAAAAATGAGGTTTACTTGAACAATCAGACATCCGTCTAAGATACAGAGGACATTTGATTAGCCAAGATAGCCCACTCCCTGATAATGCTGTATGGTAACAAGTTTACTGAATGATAGTGCTTAAACATCACGTTCACTATCCAGTAAATGTTCAGTATAATTTTGTGCCACTTCAAGGAGAGAAATTTGCAGAACAGAGTTTTGGGAGATAATTTACACATTTAAAAAAAATTGTCAAAACCTCTGTTTTCTGCAAAGTGCCCCCATCCTTTTCCCTTTGGATTTGTCATTAGATTTCTGTAGGTCATCTGGCATTAAGGTATCCCTAATAGCCATTATTCTGGCAGTGTTTCTACTTTGCATTTAGTGTTTTTTAAAAAGTGGAAGTCATGGTGCTCTACCCTACTCTTCTTTGCCAAATGGCAGTTCTCTAGGACTCCCGTAGAAGTCCCTTTGAGGGATGACGGATCATCTGTGGCCCCCAGTCACTTGGGGCCAAGAAACCATACAACTTCTTGTAAAAGGGAGAGAAAGGAAGCCCCTATTTGGTGAGGCTCTGTTGGTGCTTTTTGCTGGCATGCAGGCTGTTGGGGTTATCAGTTAGGACCCAGCAAAGCACACGAGTGTGGAAAGCCTGCCAAGGGTACACTGTGGTGGAGAGTTGGCCCCTGTGCTGAGAGAGGCCAAGAAACCTAAGAAATTCCATGTTCAGTTTGACTGTAGAACAGAAACCAGGAAAACCAGCAGACTGGTGGTTTTGCTGAAATCAAATGTGACCTGAGTTGCAGCGACATCGCCATTTGGAGACTGGGCCTTTTGCTGGAAGTTAGCACACAAGTAGATGCACATCTCTGGTTTGGGATTTAGAAAATCTCCCTCTCTTTGGATGTAGACCCTTCCCAAGTCAGTTGCTGTAGTCTCAGTGTCAACCAAACTTACTTATCCAAGCCTGTGTCCACGGAATTTTTAGAAGCTGTATGTCTTATAGATTAAAGAAACCTATAGTTAATTTCTCATAGTCACACAAGGGTTTTTTTTGGAGGTTTTGGAAACCCCTTGAATCACCCCAGTCATGTAAAAGTCACTTTAAGTAGAAAGAGTGATTTCTGAAGAATAAATCCATACAAATTATCTAAAAGTCTCTTTAAAGTTCAGTTGCCTCTAAGTCAAATAAAAACAACTCCTAAGAAATTATCTTTTAGGTTTTTCCTGAACATCTTCAGTTTTTCAGAGGGAATCATCTAATAGTTGGTTTTGCCTCCTGACCATTAGTCAGTGTTAAGAACGTTTAACCGATATGGGGACTGAGCCCTATTATTGACTTACTGTGGGGCCTGGTCCAGACCCCAAGGCTCTCTGAGTTGAATTCTCTTCTCTGTAAAGTGAAGGAATTCTGTGTACCGCATGCCTTCTAAGCGAATTTCTGATTTTCAGACTTTATGACTCATACATAAACAGAAAATTTAGATAGTCTTGGTACTTTATCAGCTGAGCTCCTTGAACATTTCAGCTGAGAGTCACGTAGAATCTTTCTTTTCTCCACAAGCGCCTGCATATTTAAAGTTGACTCATATATTAGTCACCACAGTCAGTGGATGGGGAAAAAAAGGCTCAAGATTCAAAGATTAGAACTTGGAAAATGAACCCTCTCAGTATCAGGTGTGATGAGAAGACGACCCAGCACCATCAGAATTTGGGGAAGTTAATGCTGTTATTCAAATGAAAAGTCGGGATTATGGTGAGAGAGAATTTTTTCCTTAAAAGATATCCTTGCAAGGTATATGTGTAGGCTTGTGTACACAGACACAGATCTCTTTCTTGAATTAACTCCAGCCCGGGAAAATCAAAGAATGTTCTTGACATTCAAACAGTGTAATAGTTCCATGAGTTATTTCAATAGTAATGGCCTTACATTTTTCAAATTACCTATTTACAAATGATACCACTGGTAAGTTTTTAAAAATTGTAAATGCCTGATTTGAGAATAGTTACTCTAGTACTTTTTTTTCAACTTTGTCTCATTTGGCTTTAGTTACATTTTCTTTTCCTGCCAAGTCTTGGTCCTATTTTATTGTTTAAGTCCTTGATGAGTAGGTTACAGATCTGCATTAACTATCAAATAAATAAACCACATTATCCAATTTTTTAAGTTCTAAAATTAGCTGTTATTTTGCATATGTTACATGTAATGTGATTTTCCTTTGAATATATTTTATGAATTTTTGAATAAATGAAAAGCAGAAAGAGGTAACTTGGGGGGTGGAGTACTATATGCTTGATTATAGTCTGACCCTTACCTACATATTTTACACCTTAGTCTTAGCTGGGTAGCTGATAGAAAAAGAATAAAATCTCCTAATCTTGTTAGTTGGGAGCGTGGGGCACCCCACAGGCTGTTTCTCAAAGACTTTACCCAGTTAGGGAAGAAACCTTCCTAAACAGAACATGATAACCTGTATCGTGTGAGATTTTTAACTACCTAAATATTACAGGCTACTTTTTTTGTTGTTTTATAGGCTCAAGAAGAAACATGAGTTACCATTTTTAGCGGGTAGAATTCTTCGAGTGCTTCAGGAAGTTGGCAGGGGGCAGGAGCAGGATTAAGGCAAACCCACAGAGAGCTGAGGTGACAAAGGCTGGCCTGGTTGTTAGCCTTGGGGGACAGAAGCTGCCTCTGACTCTGACATGAAGTCTGGCAAGTTATGCCAGATTGGAGGTTCTGAGTTGCTGAGATCCAAAGATTGTGGATCTCCTGGCTTCCCCCTGCCCAAGCACGTGGCCCAGTGAAGGAAGGCCATTTCAAAGAAATAGTGGGCATTTCTTCTGAAAGAAAATGAACCCCTAATAATGGTGCAGTGCCGAATCCTTCCATACAAGATGTGAAGTGTGTCACCCAGCACTCCGTACAGACGTGGCTGGCCCTGGGAGATAGAAAGCCATAGTTCTCCCTCCATAACAGACTGAGCCAAGGCAGGGAACCACCACCTGGGTCTTTCTCTGTTGTCTTGAAAGTCAGTACCAAGTTCAGCAGGCACTTGGCTGTGTGCCATCTCTTGTTTTCCTTCGGTATCTTCTGGGCCCTGGATGATACAGTCACCGCATTCTCTGTTAGGGATATGGAGTGACTATGCCCTCCTTTCCTTGGTTCCCTGTGTCCTGGTAACCCTTCCCGTTCGCAGTGGAATCAAGGTGCCCTCAGGGCAGCCCTTCTCTGGCATGGCGGCAGGAGAGCAGCCCGCACCTCGGGTGAGCCAGGACACCATTGCGGCCAGGCGTGGGGTTAGGGTCGTTCTGAAGACTAAGACACACTTGTCAGTGCCGTGAGGATTGGGGTTCAGTAGCTCATGGCTGCTGTGTCAAGAAAACCTTCGAAGGTGAGTTCTCTTCTCTTCTCCCCACGATCGATCAACCCACATCCGCATCTTCACCATCGACGTACAGGTACTTCCCGCCACTGAGTCTCAGTTAGCTCATCGAGAGGGGTTCTTGTGCTGTCCTTCTGGTGTGAGAGCTGACATCTTACTCCCTTGGTAGCATCTTCTTAAAGGATCCAGCATCATGTGTTGCCGAAGATACACACATTAAAAATTAATATATGTATATAGAGAGATACACAGCACATTCATTCTGTTTCCTAATTCCATTCAAATTCTGGTAATGTTTTGATGGTTTGATTTTTATATTTTGTATATTGTATTAAGACATTAACCTTTTTGTTTTTGTTTTTGTTTTGTTTTCACTTTAGGGGACACTTAACAAATCCACTAGTTCAAGAAGCTTAAAATCCCTTGACACTGAAAACAGTGAAACTGAGTTAGAAAGGATTTTGCGTCGCAGAAAGGTGACGGCAGAAGCAGATAGCAGTAGTAAGCTGGTTTGAATTCTCCACCGTTCTTCTCTTCCTCTCTGAAACATCTGCCTCTAAGTCCCTTTTTAACATGAAATGATCTTTTATAATTACTAATTTTTTTAATGTGATTGAGAAGTATTGGATTGGCAGTGGTGCTTATGGATAGATACCTCATAAGTACTTAGGTATTTTTGTTTATTGGTATGTTTGTTTATCTGTTTATTTGCAGGTAATCAAGGTTTTAGAGATTGGGCCTGCTTAGGGCAAGATCCCCCCCACATACAGACACTCAGGATGGGCTCCGACAGTCGTGTAGCAGTGAGAACGGGCTCTGGATCCAGACCACCTGAGTCTGAACCCTTTATGAGCGGCTTGCCCTTAAATTGCTCAACCTCTGTGCCTCAGTTTTTTTCTCTGAGATGAGGCTGTTAAAGTGCTGCTGCCTCATTGGATTATTCTAAGGGTCCTAAGTCAGCGAATGGAAAGCGCTGGGTGTGTACGGCACCAAGTCAGTGCGGAGGGGTCGGCAGTCAGAGTAGGGGTCACGCATCGGTTACAGGGGCGAAGGATCATCTTCATCCTTCATACGCAGTCTGTTCACTGTCCACCTGTGAACCAGGCGAGTGAGAAATGTCCGCTCTGTCCCCGGCCAGGAACGACCACTTGAGCAAGTCTGGAGCTGAGTCTGCATTTGTGTCCTGATAGGCATGTATGAAACCTCACAACTAACTTTGCATGTGTTCCGGTTTTTTGTTACTGTTGTTGTTTTTTCCCATCAGCTTGGTCACAGGAATTAGCAGAAACCCTTATGAGCTCTTCCCCTGGTGGCCTCAGGCTGACTTTGAAAACCTCCTCCAAAGTAAAGGAACTTCCCCAGCTAATGGGCTGAGTCTTTTACATTCGGTTTAGTCAACTCCAGTTGGTCCCTTTTATTTATTTATTTTTTTTTAGATTTTATTTATTTATTTGACAGATCACAAGTAGGCAGGGAGGCAGGCAGAGAGAGAGAGAGAGAGAGGAGGAAGCTCGCTGTCCGCTGAGCAGAGAGCCTGATGCGGGGCTCGATCCCAGGACCCTGGGATCATGACCTGAGCCGAAGGCAGAGGCTTAACCCACTGAGCCACCCAGGCACCCCCAGTTGGTCCATTTTAACAGGTCAAATTTGTACTGAGTCATGTTTAACAAGTTTAAGTTTCTAGAATAGGAGGGATTTGGGTTTTTGTTAATCAAGCTCTAGTTTCCATGTAGGGATTTTACTCCCAACAATTTAGTAAATTGGTTTTTAGTATTGGAAGCGGCAGCCAAACCTTTATTATAAAAAGTTGAACCTTTTGTTTTCTTCTTCAAAAAAAAAAAAAATCAGCCATTCAGGTTTTAGTTTGGTCTAGATATTCTGCTGTTAATATCCCAGAAGAATTCCTTCCCCCAAAAAATAACCACCTGTCAGGAAAATTTAAGCAGTGCTGTAAGAGATTTTTTTTTTCTTAGAATTGCTTTATAAGCATTTATCGGCTTCCACAATAAATTATTGTTCCTGTTGTGATAATCACTTCTTCGAACATTTCCTCCTTGAAGTATTCATATAGCCATCATTATTGTTTAGGGCTTGGTGGATCCCATTTTTGTTCTCTGTCATTTACATTTTGTATTTTGTTCCCATGGAAGCATTCTTACTTCCCTCGTGAACTCGAACTCGGTTAGATGTACAGCACTATTTCAGAGTTGGTTTTCAATGGAAGAAACAAGGAAACATTTTCATTTTACTCAGTATGGGAATTTGAATATTGCAAAGAATGGAGGAAGAAAGGAATACATTGTACAGGCATGGTTGAGAATCTTTCATTTTATTTATTATATCCCACTAATGTATACATATTCAGTGTATCATTTGAGGGATGTTACAATAAGGTATATTGTCAACAGAATCATTAGCATTTGGATAGAGAAACAAGAACTCTGGTGGAGTGGAGAGGAACCATACTGGGGAGAATAACTTGCAACTGAGTAGAAATTTTCTTTTGAGCTCCCTAGTGGCCAAAGCAAAAAAAAAAAAAAAAGGTGGAGGTGTGAGAGAAGGAAACAAACTTAGTCTATCATCTAGAAAAAGAAATCATACCTTTTTTTTTTTTTTTTAAGGTGGTACCAGTGTTTTCCTTGCATTGAATTAGAAGGGGTGTTTACCAGATAAATCTTTTTATAAGGGTCACAGAATGACAAAGTAAAAATCCAGGGACAGTTCAGGGAGTGGGGGAAGGGAATAAGAAGCTAAAGTTAGCACAGTTGAATGCTGCATGGTGGGAGCAAATTACAGAGATGAATTTGACAGGTTTATGGCTTCAGGTACACCTGAATCTCTTGAGATTTTTTCCTTTTGCACACAAAGGCTTTATGGGGAAGCTAATGTGAGGTCACAGTGGAGAAAGGAAGCATGGTAAGAGAGGCAGTGGCAGCCTAAGGTTTGTAGACCTCAGGTCCCAGGATAGTTAGTATCTCCCTTCTAGGCCGGTGAAGCACATTTCTCTTTAGGGTTTCTCTTATCAGACCTAACTGATGCTTTTGCTTGTGGCCTACTAAGATGACATTTCGAAGAGCAGCAAGTACCTCTTGGAAAACATTGGACAGCTTAAACAGGATGCAATAATAATAATAATCCTAAACATTATTTATTTTTCTTTCTTTTCATATGTAAGAAAAACCAGATCTTGGGTCAGCTCACGTACTTTCTGTCCTTTGTAGCTGGCCTCATTTACAGAAGCAGCAGCAGCAGGCGCTGGTGTTTCAGAAGCAGATCTGCTTTAGGACAGGTTGCTTAGAGCTGTCTAGCATTACAGTCAGCAACTACCCACAGGCAGAATGGAGTGGCTCAGAAGCAAATCGTAAATTCAACTTCGTATTTTTTCCAGATCTTTCTGGTCTTCCAGCTCTCCTCTCTTTACGCCTACATCCCCTTGCACCAAGAGGCTTATCCTAGGTGGGAGGGAAAGATCTTTGGAATCAGGATAGTCAGTGATGTCACACGCTCCTCTGGCCAGCTGGTAGAGGTAAAATAAAGGAGGAAGGCAGCTCTGATGTTTTGGGAGCTAAGGCTGCCCGCTGGAGCTGGAGCAGGTGTGTGTCTCCTCCAGCGAGTGAGGCCAGAGGAGGCGGGACAGCAGAGCGCAGAGCAGTCTCCCAGCCCCTCTTTCAGGAGGTTTTGCACAGCAGAGCTTTGGGCTGAGAGCTGATAGGTTACACTGTTGGGATCTGCAGACACAAGCACATGCAGATGTGACAAAAACATGCCAGAGCTTAACATTGATGACCAGGGTTCAGCTAGCATTTGGGATTGTGCCCACTGGTACTTCCCATTTTAGGAGATGATCTGACATTTCTGAAGGAATCGTAGATTCCCAAGTTTTGTCCTGTTTTCAGTGGCGCCTTTCAAGATTGTCCTTCAGCTTAATTTTTAGACATTCTAATTTCGTCTGTACATTTACAACTTATTGCATAAATCTCTGTGTTTTGTGAAGATTTCGTCTGAGGTTTCAAGGAAGACATGTTGGAATCTTGCTTTGGAAAAAAGCTGGCTGGGACAGTGTCTTTATGACCAAAGAGAGAAAACAAGTAACGAGAGAACTGTTTCAGGGCCCGGGAGTTTTGGGTTGGTACACCAATAATTTCAGTAACGAGCCCTATTACAGCCATTTTAGTCTCCCCAAAGGGCAGAAAGGTCCAAAAGGTAAACAGCCAAACTCTTTGCCACTTAATTTTTAGAATCCTGTGTCTGTATTTTAACAGGAAATAAATCCACTTACTTCTCATTCACATTAAAATGAAAATGTTCATAAAAGCTGTTTAATGCTTAAGAAGCCTTCATGAGCCTTTTTGAAAAGAACCTTTTGACATTGTTCTATTTGCTGTTTAAAACGCAGAGTTGAGTTTTGGGAAGAATTAACTCTTGAGAGGCCAAATGGTTCAAGTAGGGCTGTCAGAAAGCCATACTCTGAGAAAAAGAGTTTTCACAATTCTGGTATTAATAAGGACTCCGGTCAGTGAGGGAACCATGGCCTGGGGTTTTGTGCTTTCTTAAAGGTCTGTATATAATTTCTCAGCATGGTTCTGGTGCACTGAAAAGCAGTAGTACCACCCAAACAGAGCATATTTTAACAGGAACATTTTTCAGCATGCTTTTGAAATTTTAACAAAACTTGGCCTTCTCACTTCCTGAGGGATTTTCGGCTAATCTGTTTTTCAGTACCATATTAATAAGCATTGCACAGAATTATTAAACTTGAGGTATGTGTTTGGTTTTAAGGTCCAACCGGGATATTAGCCACCTCAGAGTCCAAATCCATGCCAGTGTTGGGTTCTGTATCCAGTGTAACAAAAACAGCCTTGAACAAGAAAACTCTGGAGGCAGAATTCAACAGCCCGTCCCCCCCAACACCTGAGCCAGGTGAAGGGTCGTGTAAATTGGAAGGATGCACGAGTCCCAAGGTTACGTTTCAGTAAGTAATGATGCTCTTTACTAAGTAAGTGTGTAGCAGAATCTGTGATGCCTGAACTGTGTGTTGCTTTGCTTTGTTCCTCTTTAGTGAGATTTCAGTCGGGTTAGCCAATAAGCACTCTTGCTCCTTTGTTTGATGAGCCAACTTGTGATTCTAGGCTCCTAGCTTAGAGGTCTTATTCTGATCCAAAGTCGACATGGGTAAAGAGAATGCCTTCCCCTAAACTGTTTGGTAATCAGGTTCTTCTTCCACACACAGAATTCACCTGGATGACAATTACTCCGCATCACAAGACACTTAATCATCCTTTCGGGCTTAAATGCTTGGGTCATCCCTCTTAATGATTTATGAGCAGTCCAGGAAGATACTAGATCTTCCGGAAGATGCTAGATCTTCAGACTTTGAAGGGGACATTTTTAGAACCTTGTTTTCTAGCCCTCAGTGAAAGATGTGCCTTAATATACTGCTCTCTCTAGAGACTGAAGAGATACTACGAAGGAGTTCTCACCGCAGACTTGCTTTGGGAAAGTGGCACTTGGTCCAAGAGTTAATCTTGCTGTTGAATGCGTTCAGAGCGATCTGGTGAAGGGTCAATTTGTTTTATAACAGAGGCAAGCTCTCTCTGAATTAGTCTAGGTTTGCTGAAGTTCTCTTGCCAGGATGTCAGCCGGTTTGCCGCTTGAAGAAAAGAAAGAGGTGAGACAAATCAGATCGGCTGAATATTGTAATCATGGTTAATTAAAACCTCTGATTTCCTGTTCTCTCAGGAGAGAAAGAACCCTTTTTTTTTTTTTTTTTTTTTTGGTAGCTCTACCTGTCTTAGTTTAAAAGGTAAAGCCTGGACAAACGAAGTTGCAATTCAATTTAGATCTATTTTTGTCAACTGGAATTTTCTTCCGCTCTTACATTTCTCTCCCTGGCCCTATTAACTTTTCCCCCCCCCTCTTTTGGAATGAATGGCCTTCTTTGCTGATTTACAGTTTTATCTAATTTCTTTGTGTTTAATTAAAAGCACACTTTCTCCTGCAGTCATGCATTTCCTTTCTTTTGACTGGAGTCATTTGAACAATTCTAACAGAAAGATGATCTATATTCATTCTTCATCTTTCCTATTAAATTTGTTTAACACCTAATTTGACATCAACAGTCTGACTACATCTGAACCAATATCCAGACACAAAAGCAATTTGGCTGAGACAGGTTAGTTGCTGAGAACTGCTTCAGTGTGTGCGTATAGATTTTTTTTTCCTTTACCATTTTATACAGATAATCTTAATCAGAAAATACTGCAACTCCTTCCTCCTTTTGTCTGTCTTTTATTCTCCAAAAGTAAGTGGAAATTACATTTCCAAGAAAGGAAATGAAATAATTGCAGGCCCAAGGTCTGCAAAATGTGTGTTGAATTGACAGTGAAAAGGATCCGTGTGTTGACAGACACAGTTGTTAGATGCCATAAAGGCCTAAGTGAAGCTCAATTTATTTCTCATCTTGCTTGTTCAATGACTGCTTAAGAGGCACATTTCAATTTAATTTAGCTACTTAAAGCACTAATACAAATACTCGGGGCTGCTGTATTAACTTTTAAACTTCATAACCCATTGCTTGATGATTCAGTTCCTGACATTCTTTAGCTGAAATAACTAACGCCGTGTATTTTCATATTGACAGTCATTTAGCAAAGAAGGGTGCCTTTCTGAAAAATCTGTTTCTTAAGCATAATTAGACGATCCAAATAAATCCCAGTATTTCGTGTAGGTACCTGGTAATTACTCATGTCCCAGACGGGCACACACACTTCATTCATTTATGATCAAACCTAGTTTTTTGTTTTGTTTTGTTTTGTTTTTTAAATGAGTAAAAGAAGTTTAACTTAATGTAGTTACATGAAAGCTTTGAAAGCAAAATCTCACATGGTACATCAGGATTCCTTGAAAACCAGCCTGCCAGGACCGAGAAGGGTTATCTTGAAGACTGTTTCTGGCAGGTTCTAAGAAGTCCTCCGGTTAACACCAGCCTGAAGGTAGAGGCTTATCTCTACCTTGTCTTATCTCAGAGACCTGGATGGTCAAAGCACTTGGAAATCACATCAGCGATCCAAATACGGAATGTTACTGTTGCTTTTTAAAACCCTCTCTACTCTAATAATCAGTATCTTTGTTCTGATCAGTGGCTGCTCCACCCTAGTGTTTGAGCCTGGTGGCCACCCCACCCTGCCCCACCCCCAGTCCCTCCCACCCTGACCTGCCCTCCCGGTATCACTCCACCCTAATCCTTTCTTTTTGCTGTCCCTACTGGCTCCTCTGACTTGCTCTGTCCTTCCCCACTGACCTTCTTCTTTATCTCATCTCGGTCCTTTTTTTGTTCAAATGTCACCTTTCCAGTAAGGCCTACCCAGACCACTCCGTTTTAAAATTTCAATTCCTCTTCCTCTAAGCTCTGATTCCCCTCACGCTCCTCCACTCTTCCTCTGCCAGAATGTAAGCTCCATGAAGATAAGAGTTTTTTGTTTGTTTGTTTGTTTGTTGTCTGCCCGCTGGAGTATCTCCAACACCTGGGAAAATCCTGGAAATTCTGTAAATACTTGTTGAATAAATGAACAATGAGTACATTTTTAGTATTACTAAAACAACAGAATGTCAGTTGATTAGAATACCCAATTAACCAGCATTTCCTCTGTTATTCAACAGTCCCACATATGCATAGACTAAATATTGGAGATTTTTGAGTGTTCTGTGGTTGGCTTCTTTGGTTTTATAACATTTTTTTGTTTTGTTTTAATGCTCTGCCGCCATTTCCAGCTGGCTCAGTTTTGTATAACTTCTGCATCTCTGTACCTACATGAGATAAAGTTATCAGAGACAGTAGCATGCACAGTTTTTAAAGGAAAGATTCAGCTATGCTTGCTTGTATGGCCTCAGGTAGACAAGAAAGGTTGGAAACCTACTAAGGGTTTTAAAAGAGTAGAAACAAAGGTGTTTTCTGCATAAGATCTTCACTTAATCAGAAAATTATAACACCAAGCTATTCCTAGAAAGTTTTTTTTTAAATAAATTCCTAAAATCAATATATATATATATGTTCCAAATAATTGAGTTAACTCCAGTCTGGTGGAGCCAGAAATATATGGATTTATTTCTTAGGGACTCATGACATGGCAAGAGATATCTTTAACACTTAATTGTAAGGATTAATTAAAATTAACATTCTTGTCATCAGTTTAAGCAAAGCAAGGGTTTTATTATTTTTTTTTTTAAGAAAAAGGAAAAGATAATCCAAGACTTGGAGAAGCCTAATTATTTCCATTTTAATAATAGCTTTAGAAATATTTGTGTCCTGTTAATTATTTCTAATAAGTATATATTATCTAGTAATAATATCTTAAATCTAATAGCGAACTTGAATTTCGTTATTTCTGATTAGTTATAATTCAGACAGGAATGATGATAATAATCTCCCCTCATGCTGTGAGGGGTGAAGAGTTGGCCAAGTAAAATAAAGAATACACATATAGGTACATAGCCAACAACCAACAAACCTGATTTTTGCTTTCATGCTCTTTCCTATTGATTGAGAGTAAAAATCTGGCCTTGTTAAAATATGTAAGACTCATTAATCCACGTTAATCCATGCTTGGGATGGTCAATGTAAAATAAGAGAAAATTCCAAATTATAGACTTATTTAAAAGAGAGTTATTTTATTACTTTCAGACAGCTGTAATACCTGGAAACAGGGTGAGTGTTGCACAGGGTCAGAAAGATGAGGATGATTCGTATTTTCCCTTGTAAAAGCATATAGACCAGGGAGTGAGGGAGCAGGGAAACAGCCTGAGCCTTTCCATCTGTGCACAGGGTGCCCAGAGGCATCCGGTTGTTGCCGGAACCGGAGCTCTCCCCACGCCACCAGATAAATGGGCGTCCTGATCTTGGGTTTGCCATTTGTGGCCATTATGACCTAAGGCAAGTTATAGAGCCCAGGATTCATGTTTTCTCGTGTGTAAAATGAAGGTGATAACACCTGCCTTGTAGAGTCATTATGGGAGTTGGAGAACTTACGAGAACTATTTCAGTAAATTCCTTTCCCGTCTTACATTGAAATCGTAATGCAAGGCCATGGCTGCCTCATCCAGGACCAGAGCTGAGTTCAGAGCTTTGACATCGGACACCTGTTTCCCTGACCAGGCCCGATTTCCTTGGGAAGGTCATGCAACCTCACTGTTCTGTTTTCTTTTTGTTGCATTTTTTTCTTATCTAAAATTGGGGCAAGTGGATGAGGCAGTCTCCAGAGTCCCCCGAGAGCTCTACAGCCTCGGTCATTTCTCACAAATGTGGTTGCTTGGGAAAGAAGTTCACAGTTAAGATAAGCAACAAGAGGCAAGCCCGTATTTTCTGCCTGCATTGTGTCTCTCAGTACAAACTGACAGTAAAACACACACAAACCCAGGAATGAAAAATAATTTTTAAACTATGTTACCAGAATTTACAAATCCAAATCAAAATGATTGTCGTTGTTCAGAAAAGTGCTCGCGATGTCAGGAGACTCACTCCAGCCCTGTTGCTGTCATTCCAAATGCTCGCAGACCTGCCTGGGTTAGAGATAACCTGATCACATGGGAGAAAAATTGGGCAGCTGGTCCTACAGGAGAGTTAGTGCCAGCATCCATCCATCCATCCATCCATCCGTCTCTTTATCTGTCTAGGTTTTATTTATGTGCAAGAGAGAGCATGCACAAGCAGGGGGAGGGGCAGGACAGGAGGGAGAAGGAGAAGCAGACCCCATGCTGAGCAGTGGGCCCCACACAGTTCTCAGTTCCAGGACCCTGAGATTGGGACCTGAGCTAAAGTCAGACGTTTAACTGACGAGCTGCCCAGGTGCCCTGTGTGTCAGCATTTATTTTGGTAAAAAGTGATATGGCCTAGTTTAATCTCCATTGTAGGTTCGGGGCTTCCAAATCACTTTGGCTTTGGAAAGTGAATTCAGTTTTTAGAAATAGCCATCAGTT